TCCACCTATAACTGCTGTTGTGGTTCAACCATGATCCTTTTTCCCTTTTCAGGTTTTTGATTTTGATCGGGATTACAAAGACATTGGTGTTGGTCGATTTACAACTAAATGCTTTGAAGTGAGGAATTGTATATCCAATGCCAAATGTGCTACATTGTTGTCTGCGTGGAACACTCCTCCTGAAAAGTAAGGACCAGTAAACGTCTCGCATTCTGTTCACTTGCTTCTTCTGGTTGTGAATGAATTCTTTCATGAAATGGGATTCCAGTGAAGACTATTAACTGAGTTCTACTTACAGAGGTGTCATGCTCCGTGTTGACTTGAGGCAAGGCGCTCCGAAGGATGGAAATTCTCCAGTTGATCTCTTTGAGCTCTTTCAGGTTGCCTTGACTTGAAACAAATGGCCAATTTGTGACTTTATGTATTTCATTCATTATTTTTGCCCCCTGGTAAAACCAATTAAAATTGGTGTGAAAAGTTATAGTACTTATCATGCTATTTCATTCATTATTCATTTCATTGACTATTTTTTTTCTTTCGATTGCTATGAAGAAGCGTTGTTTCTACATGCTATCACAAAATAACTGTTAGGCTCTTCCCAAATGCAACTTGTGATCACCAATTTTTCTTTTTGCAATGCGTACATATGGGTTTCAGTTCTCTGATGTTCATACTCAATATTAAAATGATTTGACTGCACGCATGCCACACTGACTCTTTTGTGTGTAATAGGAGTATTTAATGTTGGACTGTTGGTTGCAATAATTTTATTCTGGTTTTCAGTTATTACATGCAGTAATATTATGCTGGTTTTCAGTTATTACATAGCTATAAGATCTACAGCATTCCATTGTTCTGCTGGAAGCCAAGTCTTTGTTTGGAATGCAGGGAACTTAATTGTTTTCTGTGGAAATTGAACTGTTCTCTGTGAAATTCCTGTGTTCCTTATGGGGCCAGCAATGTAAAATGATCTGTGTACTGCTACTGACTAGTCATTTGTTCTATTTACTCTTGAACTTTGCAGGTGGAGATACATCCACTGAAAATTTATCTGTCCGAAACAATGTACAGAATGATGTGGGATTATTTCTTTCCTGAGGAAGATGATTCACAAAGGCGTCAGGTAAGCCAGAAATCATGCTCTCTCACATTCCCTACATCTTGTCTTCGTCCACTCATCATCTCTGATATACTTTTGTTGGGAGAAAGGAAGTTTGGAGGGTTTCAACATCAACGGGAGCCAGAAGAGCTAGAAGAATATCTACTGGTGCTGATGCTGTTGCTTCTACTAGCTATTCTGTGAGAGAGCATGAGCTTCCTGGAAGGTCAGGTATAAACGTATCCACTTCAACAAATGTCTCCAGTTGGCAAGGCAGCGACAATTCACAGGTGATTCACTTAAGAAAATATTATGATGCTCCCCTATGTGAGACTAATATGTGTTCACTGGGCCAATTGGACTATGGGGTTTTGATTGGAACTTGGGTTTCAGTTTCCGGGCAGACCAGTATTCTTCCCACTGCATACAGCCACAGGAATATGGAATTCTGGCCAAATATTTTATTTAAAATTTGTAACTGAATGCGAAAAGTGACTTGAGTAACCTGTAGTTTCAATTCAAATGTTATTTACAAACTCATCAATAGCTCCTTTTTTTTTCTCATATGGCCCAGACCATCATCAGCCTCGCACTCATCTGTCAAATATCGCTCGTGAGTCGTTGGATGATAACAATGTAAAATATAATTGTCCACACATCTAAAGTTGTTTACATGATGACATGACATCAATTTGCCTGCTCCCTACCCAAAAAACACTTACAGTCCACATATATAACCACAGAAAGTCCTACGGGGTTTGGGTGTAGAACTTACCATCACCCCTATTTTCTCCTTTTACAGGAAGTAATAATTAGATTGAAGCTAGGGAGTAGGGATTGGCACAGGTCACTATATGGGTACCCATTGTCCCATTCTAGTTTAGCTAAATGAACTACTACAGGGAGTAAATTCTATGGACCAGGAAAAGTGAGTTTTAGTTAATTTAGTTGAGCTAGAATGGGTCAATGGGTACCTATGAAGTGACCTCAGTACATCCCTAGTTAGAGCTGCATTACATGGATGATGGACCTTCACTGTGTTATAAACGCATGATGAAGACTAAATGTAACAACATGCAGTGCTTCAACGTTGTGCAGGTATCCAAATTGCAGTCTCTAAAGTCCAACGTGGTATGTGGTTCACATCCAGAGTTGCGACGGACATCTTCATTTGAAATGACTTTGGAGGAAAGTGCAGTTGATAGTATCACAAATAATAATGTGGTATCGCTGGTCAATTCGAATGTTTCCTCAAGAGACACCAACAACTTTATGGCAGATAACTCGGTTGCAGCTGCTGAGATGTTCAGGAGTAGAACTAAAGATTCAAAGCCCACCAAGTCTGTTCGTTTATCTCAAGATGAAAAGAAAGTTGGAAAATCTCATGATGAAAAAAGGACAAGAGCTCGGAAGTTGATTGAATTTCATGACATCAAGATTAGTCAGGTTAATATATTTCTGTATCATTGCATCTGGATATGTTGTTTAGCAACTACTACTGTATGACATTGCCTTCCGATTTGGTCGCATTGTAGGTTGAACTTATTGTAACATATGAGGGATCAAGGCTTGCAATTAGTGACCTAAGGCTGCTTATGGATACTTTCCACCGCGAAGACTTTACTGGTACATGGAGGAGACTATTCTCAAGAGTCAAAAAACATATCATCTGGAGTGTCTTGAAGTCGATGGCTGGAATGCAGGCAAGTATTCTGAGTGTTCCTTGTCTTTAAATTGGTATAAAAGCTATACTAGCATTGATCAGCTGCTACAGATTCTGCACTCACATATGCATCACTTTCATGTATGTTTTATTCTCAAAAGCAAGCTTTGCGTTCTAGATCTCTAGTTAGTGCTCCGAAATTGGATCTAAGTTTTGAATCTGTACTCTGATCAATAGTAAGCCCATGTTTTTATGCTTGCTATGTTTTAACATTTCTCATACGAATTTAGCTATGTCTGTTGCGATGGGTGCTGCATTTCAATACCTGTGACATACTAGGTATCGCATCGGCGTTTTCTGCCTAACACTAAATTGTGGCCTGTTAACATAACAAATTGCCCTTTTGTCCCTCAATGTGAAACGGTTGTGCTTTCGTGACATCTTTCATGAATATGCAAATCAAGGGAATTAATAGATACAATATTTCTGAATACTAGCTTTACTTGATCATTTTGCTAAACTAATTTAGGAATACAATCGGTGGTGTCGCATAGACCCATCCTTTCCTTAAATTCCCTGCAACATAACCACTTATCATGATTATATATTTAAATTATGCTTGAGTTTCCCATAGCTCAATTGACAAAGTTACTCTGGATAAGTGGATATCACAAGTACCTTCCAGTTTTTTAAAACGTTTCTCCATTTTTACTTTACTTCATGTCAACGGTTACTGATGTACTGTGTTTGGACTGGGTTCTAAGCAGGTTAAGAAGTTTAAGGCCCACAATCGGGAAACACATGATGGAGCTGTTCCTGATCATGATCTGAATTTAAGTGACAGTGACGGTGACCATCACGGAAAGCCCGATCAGTTTCCTGTGTCATGGCTGAAGAGGCCGGGTGAAGGCGCAGGGGATGGATTTGTCACATCAATTAGAGGGCTCTTTAATTCACAGCGCCGTAAAGCAAAGGCGTTTGTGCTACGGACTGTGCGTGGAGATGGAGACAATGAATGCCATGACGAATGGAGTGACAGCGATGGCGAATTCCCTTTTGCTAGACAGCTTACAATCACTAAGAAGCTCTTACGGAGACATACAAGAAAGCTCCGTCCCAGGGGGCAGAAGAACACAGGCCTGACATTGCAAGATTCACTGCCATCTAGTCCACGCGAAACAACGCCATATCAAAGCGACTCGGACTCATCATCAGAGTCACCTTACGAGGATTTCCATGAGTAGAGAAGCAATGAGAGTAGATCAGATTCTTGGTCATCAGGAGCTGCTAATTGCTGTCAACTTGTGTGTTTGGTGGATAAGATGTAACCATTCCACATGCACGGTGCTGGAGTGGAGGCTTTGTTAGTAGAGCTCATTGGCCAGTGAAGTGATAATATATCGGTCGTTCCGTTCCAACCCTGAAGGAGCTATTCAGGTGTTGTCTTGGATTCCTCGGCCTTGTATATGTATATATATAGTAGGGTGAGGAAGTTGTATCGAGCTGTAGCCAACAATCCAATGTAGCAGCTAGCATGCAGAGAAAAATGTGATGTATTGTTGTAGCTAGACATCTTCTCGTAACTAGTTGAATGGCCTTCGTATAAGTTAAATAAGAGGTCTCTTCATTTGAACATATGTATGGACTGTGTTGGAACTAAAATCATACCCCTAAGACAAAAATTCACTCTTAGGAGCACAAAAACTCACTTCCTTAGGTGCAAGAGACAATGATGTGATAGATCATGTGCAAATTTCCTCTGAAGAAATTTGAGAGATCTTGAAGTTTGACCGAGGCCTTATTTAGTTGAAGAAAATTTTTCGGTTTGGTTATCACATCGAATATACATACACATATTTGAAGTATTAAACTTAAGTCTAATAACAAAATAAATTGCAGTTTCCGCCAGAAAACTGCAAGACAAATTCATTAAGCCTAATTAATCTGTTATTAGCAAATATTTACTGTAGCACCACATTGTCAAATCATGATACAATTAGGCTTAAAAGATGTCTCGTAATTTACATGCAATATGTGTAGTTGGTTTTTTTCCTACATTTAATGTTGGCCTGAGCTGTGATGTTCAACTGTTGAAGAAAAAAAGAGGCAAAACAGTAAACAAACCAGATAATAGCTCCATCTACAGTAAAGAAAAGAAGAAAAAAAAACACAACTGGATTATAGCTCCAACTACAGTCAAGAAAAGAAAAAAAAAACAAAACAGGAAATAAAGCAGGATTACAGCTCCAACTGGAACAAACAATGTTATGTACCGACGTACCGTTGCGGGACATATCGGAAAACCCAGAAAACCAAAGTTTTGACTGCATTTGATGCCTCTATTTTGGGCAATAAGCAAGATACACATGTAATTATTCTATATATCCAAGGTATAGTAATTAATAAGTCTAGGATTCGATACAGGTTCACATTCATTTACAAACCACAAAGGCATGTTAATTTGCGGTCAAATAGATCGCTTAAAAATATGCCTAAATCATCTCCCATGGAGGACGCCATGTAAAGGTAGGGTGGCGGGTAAAAGGGTTGCTGAGGAGAAGCCAACCGGAAGTTGGAACCAATCACACTTTGTCATCATGAAACCACCACCTGGTCTCCTTCGGCGACCTCCCATTGCGGCAGTTCCTGACATAGCGATCATTGTCGGCAGGACGTTGCTGCACCAACATATAATAAACATATAATATGGTCAGATGCATGATCTCCATTTAAACAGGAGAGGACACAGTGAAGCTCTATAACCTTTGCTGGTGAGCTTGACAACATGGACAAGATACTGATACAAACAGAACTAACGGTCATCGCCGGTGACCACGAGTCATACAATATATCTGCAGACAAGTGAAACAACAGTAAACAATATATCTGCGGTCAAATTGACATGTTAATTGTTAAACAAAGATGGTAGGTGGACAAAAATTCCAGAACCCATCCAAGCAAAAATACAACCACTAAGGCAACCCAAGTAGTCCATTAGATTTCCATTTTCTCGCTGGTTAGGTTCAAAACTTCAAATTATAAAGGCAATCGTGAGTAGACTTTCCAAACAATGTGTACAAAGAAAAAAAATAAAAAGGGGGCAAAATTTAGCATTTTTAGGGTCCAGAATTACAAAAAAAAAAAAAGGCATGCAAGGTATTTTGTGTCACCAAATCGCAGGTTTCGGTCCTTTATTTTAGAAAGACATCTCTTGAATTCTTGATAACATAGGCCAGCAAAAAGCTCGGAAGCATATCCATCATATTCTCCAAGTAATAAATTTAGCCCTGCTTTGCCCTAAAAAATAACCTAGAAATTAACGTGGCAATTAACCAATATATAAACTTATTTAAAAGCCTCAAGTGGTGGTGGCAATGAATCTGCCACCCCGCTATTGCTTTAGCAGTTTTTACAAATTGTTCCATGATATTTTCTAATATTATGGAATAGTCCAATATTTGGTCCAATCAAGTAAATCTCCACTATTATAAAAATTGAAGATGTTTTTGCCGGTACTTTCGTACGTCATCCGTGTTTGAGTCGGTTTTTAAGTTTGTTTGCTTTTGGAAATACAGATCTGTGTTTGAGTTGGTTTTTTTAAGTTTATTCGCTTTTGGAAATACAGGAGTCATATAAGAAATCTCTTTAAAAAAAATTCGCATACTAACTTGAGACATGAGTCGTACTCCTAATTGCAGCTCATGATTTTCTAACATATATCCAAGCAAATTCCCGTAGTGAATTTCACCTTAGCTAAACCGTATAACAATAATAAAATTAAAATAGCCTTCACCGATTGCAACGCACGGGCATTTTTTCTAGTATCAGATAATAAAATAAGCAAACAAGTGATGCTAAGATATTTGATAAAATATGTTTTACTATGACATACAATAATATTTTGTTTCTTCTGCCAATAGCAAAGCATGGGTATGTCGCTAGTTGACAGGAAAAAACAAACAAGCCACACCATCAAACCGGGAAAAAAGGTTATCCAGCACACATAGTAAGGGAATTAAATGCATTGAGCCATGCTAGATTCATTTGTATGGTGTAATAGATACCTTTCACCTACAAAACACATGCTCTTTGCATAAAAGGAGGCATTCCTCTGGTCATGTATTGCATTAAAAGTCAAAACATGGTTATATTAATGTTAGAAAGTAAAGGGGAATGCAAATGCACAACTCAATTCACCAAATTTCATTTTGTACTGAACTAGACAGGTGGAGTGATAGACAAATAAAGTAGCAAAACAATCATTCCAAAAAGTGGCATCACTGCATTAGGAAAGGAACTGAATGTTTGCAAAGTTGAAAAGACAATAATTCAGTTAAAAAAGAGGAAGGTGCACCATCATACTTAACCAGCATCCCTTCCGGTTTGGTTTGTGTGAAGGATCGCTTCTGCTATTGGACAGGAGAGTAAACCAGGAAAACCAGATGGTTTTTCTAAGAACTGGTGAACCAATGGAAACGGATCATAAACCGCACGGCTCATCAGTGAATGGCAAGTTAGGCCCAGTTATGAGAAAAAAAAGGAGGCAGAGGATAGAACACTGGTGAGCAACCTGCAGCTGCTGCCCTTCAACCATCCAGGTAGCAAATCACTTGTGTTACATGGAGAATATACATCGGTATCGATTTTAGTGAGCCATGGTTCAGCAGTCCAACAGTGGGACCAGGCAGTGTGTGTGTGTGTGTGCTGGGGGGGAGGGGGGGTGGCAGTGGGGGTTGCTGTGAACCACGAGTTGTGCCGGCTTGCCGTCTGGTGGATTTTTATACTATGGGTAAGCCGTTAAATATGAGCAACTTGGGAGTCAAGATCAGTTTTCTAAAAGTTGGCTCTATGCACTAGGTAGCCGCCACGATTAAGTATTAGATGGTGCATTAGGCGGCTGAACTAACGTGGGTGGTGTTCTGTTGCTATTTTAGTGTTATGAAGTCCAAGTTTTATGCAATATGCTTGCTAATTTCTTGGATTTGACTATCTGGCCTGACCGAGGCGCCCCCCAGTCACCCAACTAGCGCCTTCTTGAACCATGGTCAGGATGCTCAAGATTTGAAAATTTTCTAGGGTGCATCTGCTGCATATACATCTGCAAAAAGGCATTGCTTTAACTAGAGAAGTAATACTGCAGAGGACTTGTGCTTGCCAATATTAATGTAAGCTGATAGTGGGAATGCTTATATCATGGGCAACCATTTTTCTTGAAAAGGATGACAAACTAGTTAGATTCTGTACACTTAGCAATCTACACTGGATTGAACATTTCACAGCAGGCAGGACAATATCCGATGACAATGTACAGTATTGTCCCATTAATACAAGAAAATTTTGGAATATCCCACCATTAGAATATATGCACAACAATAACATCTAATAACTTGAGGTATCTGGCAGGCATGTATTATGTGTTTCATAACATCTTGTAAAAATTGTTGAGTACAAGACATCTTATTGTACAGGTTTGCTACGTTGGGAGAATTTATTGAATGGTTCATCTCAACACCGCTCTATCATAAACTATTTTACCAATCCACCGGAAAGTTTGTAACCATCCATTTCAATGCATCAAGGAATTACATAAAGTACATAGTACACATCAATTAACTTGTGTGTTGTAACTTACAAGAGAACTTCCACTAAATAAGGGGTGCAGCCTCTTAAGGATAAATTTAACTAGATAACCACATAGGCTAGAATTTCAGCTTAACTACATCCAGAACCTCCATGAACAGACCAGACATCACAGCACAGCCAATAGTCAAATTGTTAAATGTCAATCAGGAACATAATAGCAGAATTGCCCAGATGTGTCAAAAAGTTGGGAGTTCTTGATCATGAACGACAAGAGGATATGCAAAGGTGCTAAAAACAACATGTGGTGGTGGAAGAGACAAGTGTTGATCTTGGTCAACATTATCTAACACAGGATTACCCTAGACAAATAGAAGTGGATAAGGTTAATCCACCTATATTCTAGTCACTTCCTCTATGCCCATACACCCATATCTAAGGACTTCAAGTGTTACTTTCTAAGTTTGTACACTTCCCAGCATATATAAAGTTAAAAGGTACAGCTGGGATAGCTAAATGTGTTTAAAACTTATCATACAGTTACTACCCTAGTTATTTACTACTTTAAACTCCTAAGTATTATGCTTGCCATTGAAGATGGCAGCTTTCATTAGCAAGACAGAAAGGCATATTTCGTGGACATGCTAAAACTGTAAAACAGGTCCAGTAAAAATGCTGTACACCCAAGAGAATTAATGGAGTGGGCAAAAGCATCAAGAACGAAAACAACAATTATTTATGCATCAATAGGAGCATACAATCATTTTACCTAAACAGATATGCCCATTGCTGTAAATGTGCGGATGCATTGGCGCTGGATGAAGAAATATGACCTACAGAAAAACAAGTCGATCAAACCCAAAGCGTTGGATTCCAGTGCATGCAGTATACCCAAACTAAACACAGTATAAATAAATAGTATAAAGAGAAGGCAAGAAATCCCACCTGGGGAGCCTCCATGGGGTAATGCTCAGGGAAGTCCACCTGCAATTGGTATGTCTCTCCGGCATAGAGCGTGCCCGCAGCCCCCGCGACCTCGATGACCCACCTTTTTTTATTTCGGAATAATCCATATCATGATATATTATTTTTCATGCTTTTCACATGGATAAAAAATCACAAGAAAGTATCAAAGTTGAAAATAAATAAATCATACAAGAACATGAACGACTGAATATTTCACGACTACGCGGCCAAAACCCTCATAGAAAAAAAGGAGATCCTGGGTCAATCAGGACGCCGAAAAGGGTTTGCGATTTCATCTGAATCGAAAGGGAAAGAGACGAAACGCGAAAGCGGCAAGGACAAAAACCGCGTGGGTTTGGAGTGGTCGCGGGGGAGGGGGGGGGTCACCTCTGGAGATTGTCGGTGACCTTGTGCTTGAAGCCGGAGGGAGGGTTGACCTGCCACTCCGCGAGCTCCTTCTGCAGCCGGTTGCACGCGATCTTGCTCAGCACCTGCACGAACACACATACACACACACAAACAGCTCAGAGAGAGAGAGAAAAAAACCCCCAAAACAAATTACGGCGAATCGGGGCGGAGGGGAGATGGGATCCGGAGGGGATGAGGGTAGAGAGGAGGGGGTTAGGGTTAGGGTTTGGTACCTTGCGGGAAGGGGAGGAGGAGCTCGTCATGGTGCGGGCGCGGGTGCGGGGCGGCTGCTAGGGATGGCGGAGGAGGGAGGGAGAGAGGGGGGGAAAGGTGTGCGTGCGTGGGACACGAGACGGAGAGGGGAAGAAGGCCTACGACCGCCTCACCGCGTTCAGCTCTTCAGCTTCAGCAAATCAGCAGTGCTCCCATCATCCATCCCAAAATAAATAGGGTTCCAAATAAATATCGTACTACTCCCGGCTTGTTTGGTAACTCGATGGAAGGGGATTGGGAGTTTATACGAGGGAATTGATGATGAGATTAATATAGGAATTTGATTTTTAATTCCAATATCTTGTTTGGTAGAGGTTATGGAAATTGATAGGGAGTTTAGTTGGAGATTAGGTCATTAATAAAAACGGATGGCTGAGATTTGCTTAGACAAAGTAAAGGAGGAATTCCCTCCCAATTACCTATCCCTACCTAGGTATTGAAAAGGAGGGAGTTCCTTCCTCAATTCTCCATCCCCATCCCACCAAAATTCCCATGTCTCCCAACCAAACAAAACACTTAATAGCCTCATCCCTCTAAACTCTCAATTCCTCTTAAAAACTCCCTCCAACCAAACGAACCGTCCGTCCATGATACAAGGGATTTTGAGTTTTTGCTTACACTGTTTGACCACTTTTCTTGTTTAAAAAAATTTGTGCAAATATAAAAACGAAAAGTTGTGCTTAAAGTACTTTGGATAATAAAATAAGTCAAAAATAATAATAATAATTTCAAAATTTTTTGAATAAGATGAGTGGTCAAACAGTGCAAGAAAAACTCAAAATCCCTTATATTATGGGACGGAGGGAGTATTTCACACTAGATTAGGGTTTTATTTTCATAGAATGTATAAATATTCTAACATCATAAAGTATTTTTTAAAAAATAGAAAGATCGCTTAAACCATCTAGCCGGGAAATCAGCTTACATCCAAGTTAAACTTCACTAGCCATATCATATCCCGACCAGACTAGATAGCGAGGACTAGACAAGTATCTTCAAGCCAGCCGTTTGTCAATTCTATGATTTGTCATTATTTTTATATCACTTAAGTTACCTGGATATAGCTTCCTGCCTTCCTATGGATACGGATATGTTCGGATACATATCCCGTACGTATCCAGCTATTTTTTTTATTTTAGAATAATTGAAACAATTCCTGATACGCGCCGCCTCCCCCAACTTTCTTCAGCTGCTCGCGGCCTCGCACTCTATGCTATCCGCCCTTGCAGCGCGTGCCCCCGGCTTCCGTCATCGCTGTGCAGAGCCGCCCTCCGCTGGGCCTCGCCGCCTCCCAGCCCGATGCATCTCGCACGCGTCCTAGTAAGGTCGTCCTCACACGCCGGGTGTAGGCGTGCAGTTGTGTCGCCGCCGCGCCCGGCGGCACATCGCCTCCTCTACGAGAAGCATGGCTCCATCGAATCCCCGCTGATGGGCGCACAGGAACAGCACCTCCGCTACCATTCTTAGAGGCAGGGGCTAGCCGCCCAGGCTGCCAGGGCTGTCGCTGCCCAAGGCAAGCACAACACCGGCAGCATCGAAGCACCGATGCTGTTTCTTCTTTTGTTTCCCTGAATACCTGAGGCAAATCCACTTCTCTAGTGTTCCATGCTTATCTCCAATGCCTCTATTATTTTAAGACAAGTAGTCAAGTACTATTGTTTTTTTAGATCCAAGTGCTACGGTGCAATCTGTACTAGTGCATCTAGCAATCGTAGGTGTAGTGCGGCTGCTAATCAGCTAATGTTGATGCACATTCATCAAGAGCAACTATGTATGATTGAACTATTAATTCGTTTTTTTTATGCTATTTGCAGTCTTGGGGGGCTTAATCGCTTCGTCAACTAGAATTGAAGAATTGGAGAAGATTGTTATGGACTAGAATGCACTAATACTAGTATTATATTGCTATTTTCTTACAAAAAAATTCTTATTTTTTCTGTATTTCTAATATATATAAAAAATATATAAGCGTGTCCCCGTATCCTTATTTTTTAAAAAATGTTGTATCCCCGTATCGATATATCTGTATCCGTATCCGTATATGTATCCCCGTATCTAGTTAACATAGCTTATCACCCTTATCCTATCTTACTATAAAGTTGCTATCCACTAAATCTAAAAACTTAACATGCAAGTGTATCGTATCATCAACCACTAGCAATTATTATCTAGACTATTTTAGATCAGAGTAAAGTGCACATACGGTCCTTAAACTTGTAGTGTTATATCATCTAGGTCACAAAACTCTCAAAATTCAGATCCAAGTCTCAGAACTAGGGGTGGGCAGAAAAGGACCAAACCGAAAAGACCGAAACTGAGACCGAAAAATTTGGTCATCAATTCAATCCTAGGCAGTGAAGGACCGAATTTTGTTCCGTCAATTCGGTTAGTCTCCTCAGTTAACCGAATAGACCGAAAAGATCAAATTAACAAAAAAAAGTCTAAATATAATGCAACCTACAATCCACTAAGTTCAGTAGGATTAGACTCTAATTTTCATATCTAGGCATGCAACTTAATAAGAGTCTTTACTCATACGTGCTTATGATATTTTTTGTGATTTCTGTGCTGAAAATTTCTATTATTTCTTTGCATATATGAAAATGTTGTTGAATTTCGGTTAGGACCGAGCTGAATTTGTCGGTCATGATATTTTTGTGTTAAAATTTGGTCTTCACTTTTCAAAGACCGAAATGACCGAAAGACCGAAGACCGAGACCGAAATTTACAGTCAGACCGAATGCCCACCCCTGCCTAGACCTTGTCAAAGTGTGTCATTTATGTCTTAAATCGCCACAGTCCCTCTAGAATCCTATATGGCGCTGATGTGACATACCACAATGGATATGATGTGACATCATCTTTATGGACAAAAAGGACCCACTTAAAAATTTGGGAATGTCTATAGATCATTTGACAGAAAACCCCTCAAAAATCTTGTAAATTTTGGACCACCCGATTATTTTAAGATTCGTGTAGGCAACCAAACCCTAAAAATCCTCTCTCCTCTCCCGATTCCTCACGCCGCCGCTGCCGCTCCTCAGCGCTTCCCCCCACCTCCGCCACCGCCGCTGCCACCCCAGCACACCGCCGCCTGGCCTCGCCGGCTGGCCGAAGGGTGTCAATGGCGCCGGCGAGGCCCACCCGGCCGGCCCCCCTCCCCTTCCCCCTTCCCCTCTCTCTCCTCTCCTTTGCCTCAAGCCGGCAGCGGCGAGCTGTCCATCGTCTTCCCCGTCGTTGGCGGCGAGGCGCCACCACCGGCCGCCTCCTCCTACCACTCTTTTCGCTTTGCCCCCGCCGCCTACACTGGCCCGCCGCCCGCCCGATCCGCCGCCCACCGCCGGGCTAGCGCCTTCCCACGGCCATCCCTCTAAAGCCGGCGAACTCCCCCCCTCTTCCCCCTCCCCTTCCCCCCTCCCACCCCCACCCCACCCCACCCCGGGACCCTAATTCGTCAGCTCTCTACCGAAGTTTGGGTTCGCCGGCGCCGGAGAAGAAAAGGTGGTCGCCGGAGTTGGAGAAGAAGAGCACGAATCGTGAAGCACATCCAGTGATCCAAAAATTGCAAGATTTGAGATTGGATTTTCTGTCGACAGAGACTTAGCAATTCCGTAAAAAATTTCATTTTTCTTTTTTTTTCTCCTTTCCTTCTTCTCTCTCTCTCTTTTTTTTTAAAAAAATTCTTCTCCTTTCTCCGTGACCCGAGCACCCTGTGCGGCGGTGGCCTTGCAGTGACGGCGGCGCCTCCTCCTCGACTCCTCGTCACTTTGGCCTTGCGCACCGCCCCCGCCGATCCCCATCCATCCCGCGAGCGACCACGCCGCCGTCGTTCGTCCTGCCGCTTCCACCCTGGTGAGCGCATCCTCCGCCACCGCCGATCCCCCATCCATCCCTCGTCCTCCTGCTTCCGCCGCATCCGTCCCCTTTTTCTCGAATTTGCGTTAACCCTAGCTTCTGTTCTAGAAGTTTGCCCCATGTCCTATGATTAGATCCGCCACTGATTCATGTACGGTTGGCCTGTACATGTGAAGTTTGATCCAAGCTATGCGGTATACTGTAAGGACGGGAACATAGTCCATCCTCTTTTTTTTTTTTTTTTGGCATACTGTTGTTGCTTCAGCTACATTGTTTTTCATTTTGAGAGGGTTTTTGATGGAATCGCAGGAAGGAGGTTTAAAATGGCTCAACCTTCTGTTATCCTAGCAACTGCAAGTTATGATCACTCAATAAAATTTTGGGAAGCTAAGAGTGGTCGCTGTTACCGCACTCTTCAACATACGGAATCGGTCAGTATTGCCACATGATTCTCTTGATGTGCAGTTTATTCCATGGTTTGTTGTGGTATTAGCTACCTTTGTACTTCCCCTTTTATTTTATTTTTTTTAAACATTTCACTCATTAAGACCATGCAATGGGATGCCCATTCTTTGTCTACGTGAGGCTTGTTAACTTATTTCTCCTTGTATTGGAAGTCTGGAATTACTGAAACATAGTACAATGGTTCTTGAGATGAGATGGCATGATTGTTTTATTGTTTTTTCAGGGCCATGCTTCCTTCTCCTTATTTGTTTTTCTTGGATAAATGGACCTACTCATGCATCATTTTGCACTACTTAAGTAATGATGTTGTTATGCTCTCTCTATTTGTCTTCATGGTAATTGTATGGTGATGTTCCATATTTCCTTTTTTATGTTTAAAATTTAACCTGTTCTTTCCCATCGACGCGCTATGATACAACATCCAGGAAACTCCTAGACTAGATTTTAGACCAATGGTTGGTCTATTGGTTATTATCTTTTAGATTGTAGCAGCTATGTTACTAGCAATCTTGCGTATCTTATGTCTATTGATAACCCGATTCTTGCAGCATATTAACCGCCTTGAGATAACCCCAGACAAGCGTTTCTTAGCTGCTGCTGGCAATCCTCATATCCGTCTTTTTGACATTAACTCAAACAGTAACCATCCGGTACGTACATTTTTCTAAATGAACCAGTCTGGGCCAATATGCTCTTTTTACCTAGTTAATCACGATGTACAACACACTTATCAGGTAATTAGTTATGACTCACATACTAGTAATGTGATGGCTGTGGGATTCCATTGTGATGGCAACTGGATGTATTCAGGTTCTGAGGATGGTACTGTGAGAATCTGGGATTTGCGGTGAGGTTATCTGACTTATTATTGCCTATTGTTTCTTGAATTGCAGCTTTATTTTTTTTGGCCAGTGGACTCGTGGGAATTTTTTTTTCTCGCATACTCTGATTAGACTAGCCTGCAAACAATCTCTAGCTGCTCTCATGCAGGTCCACAATATAGTCCATCACCTTGATTTTCTCTTATTCTTGAATAATCGAAATGTCACCCATGTAAAAGGTTGCAAAATATCATTTATATATAAGTTTAAACCAGAACACCATTATATACTTGGCTTTTATGCTATAAGTACTAAAATTCTAGTCTGTGATGTGTGCTATGCCTTTTAATTGTTCTTCCTAATTACATGTATGTTTTCAGCACTGCCACTTGTCAACGAGAATATGAAAGTCGTGCTGCTGTGAACACTGTGGTTCTGCACCCAAATCAGGTTAGGATTTTCATTGTCTTAGATGATCGAAAAATCCATCATCCAATTTATGTTACACTTCACCATAAGATTGGCATTTAGCTGCTAATACAAAATTCATGCGCATCACTTTCTATTGTTTATATCAAATATGCTGGCACAGTTGTTACATCCATATTTATCGCTGTATATTAACATTCATGTGATATCCAAACTGAGCCATTACTGACTGCAGAGAAGGCCTGACATTGACTTTCTTTGTCAGCATTGGCAACAGTCAGAGAAATCACTACTGATTTTTTTCTTGCAATTTAAGTTTCTTGCTGTGTTAATATGTTAACTTTCTTGTTGGATGAAATGGATGGAATAATATAGAAGGGCCCTTTTTTTTGTCACATTCATTCTGCATCATTTTGGTCCGACATTCTCTTGACCTTTCAGAAAGAGCTAATATCTGGTGATCAGAACGGAAACATACGTGTGTGGGATTTGGCTGCTAACTCGTGCAGCTGTGAGCTGGTGAGTTGTAGTTCAGTTTTACGATATCACTCCATGGGAAATGAAGTGTTGATGTGTTGGTTCCATCTATCTAGGTGCCAGAGGTTGATACTGCTGTAAGATCCCTGACAGTCATGTGGGATGGGAGTATGGTGGTTGCTGCAAATAACCGTGGGACATGTTACGTCTGGCGCTTGCTTAAGGGTACTCAGGTCTGTCAGTCCTACTGAATTTCCTAAAATGAAAATAGGAGACAGCTTGTCCTGACTTTTCTGTTGTTGAACATAAGGTTGTGATTTCTTGATCTCCAAGCTGACGGAATTCCTTATGTAGACAATTACCTGCTTTGAACCCCTCCATAAATTGCAAGCACATGATGGTTACATTCTGAAGTGCCTGCTTTCCCCAGAGTTCTGTGACCCCAACAGGTATACATGTGCAAAATGACTACCTTTTCATGTTCATGTCGCTTCCAATGTACTGTTATTTATGAAGATTGCTGCCTAGGCATTCATTCCCAATATATAATCTGTGAACATAGAAGTATCAGTAATATCTCCACTTCTAAATATCCAAGAAATGCAAGACTGGCATTTTTTTTGGAAGTAGCAATACTAACTCCGAGTTACTTCATTTTGTTGGATTTCATTTGATGTGCTTTGGCTTGCTTTGTAGGTACCTTGCAACAGCCTCATCTGACCACACTGTGAAGATTTGGAATGTTGATGGCTTCAAATTGGAAAAAACTTTAGTAGGTGCGTTCCTGAGCAGTGCTTCACTTTTCCTATCGAAATGAAACCTGTGGAATTTCTAAGTGAGATCCTTACATAAAGAGCTAACCTCTCAGGTCACCAGCGTTGGGTTTGGGACTGCGTATTCTCAGTAGATGGTGCTTATTTGATAACTGGTACTCCTACAATCTAAACTAGCACTACGCTGTCCATGATTCCCCATCGCTGAATTTCATGAGTTACCAAACAAACCTGCCGTTGTCTTGCAGCTTCCTCTGACACTACGGCGAGATTGTGGACGATGTCAACCGGAGAGGCAATCAGGGTTTACACGTCGCATCACAAACCAGTTGTCTGCTGTGCTCTTCATGACGGAGCTGAATCAGCACCATCATAAGCAGCCCCGTGCCTCAGGCATTTTGTACATACTCCAGTTTGAAAACATGTGAAGCTCTGAAAAATTTCAGCACTCTTAGGACCTTGAGGCCAAAGCAGCTGGCTTCATGTTGCTGTAGCACCTGATTGACAAATAATGTGCATGCGCAAGGTGGACAATTGATATGATTTATTAAGCGTCTCGGTTTTTAACAAAGTGCTCTTCTATTCCTGATATGCAAGTTTTGGCAGTTTGGTATTATCACACATGAAAATAGTTCAGTTTCTTTTTTGGGGGCAGTTTGGTACGACCACATTTGAGAATAGCTAGCGGACGAGTGTTCGTAAAATGCGGTTCAAAATCGCATTGGAATTTTTCTTTTCAGCATTTCTTTTTCTCTGAACATCTGCCGCGTAATCGCGGAGCTGAACATCTGACGTACATCTGGGATGGACACGCAGTAGTCGTGTTGTTTTCGCAAGGAAATATGAGAGCGTCATCTCTACTTGGTTAGTTATGCCCGAATTTTGCAACGAAGTCGTACTGTAAAAGAAGAATTCCAGCGTCTTCAGACGAAGGCATGCTTGGTTGTAGATCGTAACAGTTTGTCACTGTCATGTGAATTCGGAGAAAAGAAAAGAAAATGGACGAAAAATAAAAAATAAAATTCAGAACGTCACTGACATGTGGGCCCCCACGGGCACGTCGACTTCGAGCGACAGAACTAGGACCGACCCAAGTTGTGGAAACCAAAATGCAAAAAGCAGCAGGTCAGCAACATTGGTAACACCAAGGGGCAGCAGCAGCTAAGCTACATGGGGAGGTTGACTGAAAAACGAGAAGAACAACATGACAATTCCTACAGGTGAGCCATTTTAGCACTCCAGTACAACCAAACACTAAATTAAAGCGCTCTTATCTCCATTGGTTATGTTACTTCCATACAACACGATGAATTAAAAATACTCCAAAAGAATAAAAAGAAAAGAAAAAGAAAGAGGAAGAGCTTACATCTAGCTCACTCGTTTTCTACTTGCATTTCCCCAAATTGTGGGTAGCGAACTAGGACAAATAATGAAGGATTAATACAAAGGGTTCGATTATTCATACGTAGATCAAAAAAAAAAAAAAAAGAGGGAGGAGGATTGAAGAAAAGAAGAGTTTCTCAGTACCGTAGCAGGACGTCAGTGGGCAAAGGGCATGTTAACTCTGGAAGAAATGGTCTTTTGCAAGCATCATCGTGTCTGAACTTTGAGAAACCATCAGTGGATCCAAGGAGCACTGACCTTGCAATCCCCATGCCATCAAAGATTGAGATGAGCACACCACAAGCAACATCGATACCAAGTCGACTGGTGCGCGCGAGTGCTTGTGAGATAAAGTGAGCACCAATCATCTGAGCAAGCATGATCTTTGAAGCGTCGCTTGCATATTTATGGATGCTGGTACAAATAAGATTTGCTTGGAATTACTAAAGCGAATGTCCGTAATCAATTGAAAGTTTGATACATCAAATGTGTTCCATCTTTTTGTGGACTGCCATGACCAAATTAAAACAAAAAGTCAGCAGCACAAAAAGTGGCAATGCATCTCATAGAAATGCTAAACAAAACAAATGGAAACAAGACGAAAATGGCATAACCAGGACAAATACAGTTTTTTTTTAACTTACATGGCTAAAAAAACAACTTAGGGACACAACCACTAACAAAGAAATGAAGTAAGAGGAATATATATTACCTAGTTGACCAAAACCATGTCATCTCCCGAAGCCTTGGCGGCAGCAGCTTCCAGTTGTCTCCATGCTGACAATCTTTGCTCCTCCATATCTTTTGCTCTTGCTTGCTTCTCTATGTACTGCTGCTGGCACTCCTCAAATAACTCACTGTCCATGTCCAAAAACATCTTGCGCACATTTGCAGTCAGACCATGAACAGCTTGATTCCAGTGGCTCGTTATGTTCCTCTCGAGTGCTTCAAATATGATTGGAAATATAACGCTACGGTTTTGGGCAATTAAGCTTACAATGTGATCATTGTTCCACAAGAACAAAGCCCGCTCAGCAACCTGCCAAGAAAACCAACGATCAAATGAAGAGGGTGTTCGAGAAAAGACACAGTCATGCATTACAAAAACAGGAAGGCCAGTAGTTAAAATACAGTGATTTTCAGAGCCAGCAAAAACAGGTTATGCAGATAGAACTTGTGATGCAAACAAAGACATAGTGTAATGATGTGAGTTAAGAAAAAATAAAAATATTAGCCAAACCATAATATGCAACAAACAGACAGCACAGTATAACAGACTTTCATGTGATACCAGGGTTTAACAGTTCATCCTATGATACCAGGGTTTACAGACGAGAGTGACTGACCAGTAACCAAACACAAAACAAATACCTTAATCCCAACAATGCTATTTAATCTAATTAATATATTTAGTTAACAAATGGCACCAGTAAACCAAGATATCATTAAATAAAAAAGCAGGTTGCTAATAAGCAATGACTGCAGTATCAAATAGGCAAAGTTACCAAGACCGCATCTAAACCATTGACTTGAATGAATGAAGGGCAATTATATTGGTGCATGTAATGTATAACAAGATGAGAATTGGGTTACACAACCTCAAAAGATGCACCATGATATCAGTAAGAGATCAACATAAAATTGGGATATTGCAATTAATTTTCTTTTAAAAAAATTCCATATCTGCAAACATCGAATGCAGGAATCCACTAACATGACCTATGAACAACACGACGAAACCAGAAAACAACAATATCTCAGCAACGAATAAACTCACTATCTCAGTGATTCAGTAACTCAAATGTTTAAGCATAAGCTTCTCTGTCTATTTAAATCTCCTCCAGCTAAAAGGAGTCTTATGGAAATGAATTCAGAGTACACCAAAACATAGAACCACATATTCACAACAATGATCAAAAGGGAAAGAGCAGCTATGTTCATAAACAAAGCCTTCGAAGGGAAGTTGGAGCCAAAGGAAGAAAAGGAGGCGAACAGAAGTGTTTTGGTAGTGAATGAGACATTTCAGACATGGTTGTAAACATCACAGAATGCAACAAAAGGCAATGAAAGTAGTTGGAGAAAGGGTGTCACTGCAACTGCTTCCATTTTGGCATCTAGCAAGGCTGCAAATGGGCCATCAACACACTTCACTTTACAGCGTCAAATATAGACTGGACTACAAGGTGCCCAGTAGGTTGCAACTGAGAGGTATAGAACTAAAATAATGAGGTGTGATTTCATTCAAATTTCAAAGTTGTGAAGTATAGCTTGACAGACTAATCTATATTAATTCAGCTACCTGATTGCCAGATCAAAGAAAACAACACTGGCATATTGCATTAGAAAATAAGTGGTATAAGAAAAGGCTCAAGTCCGATTTACCCCCCTCAACTATCACAGAAGTATGATTTAGCCCCCTCAACTCTAATGCCAGACAAATCACACCCCTTAAATGTTCAGTCCGGACACATAACCCCCTCATTCCCATTTATAGGCAGTTTTGGTCCAGAGTTATCTCACGTGGCACTCCAATAGATGACATGGCAAAAAAATAAAGAACTCCCTTCCCTCATCTCTCTCTCACTCAAATTCCCCATCCTCTAGAGGCCAAATCCCTAACACTAGAGGTGCAGGAGGCACTGGACGGCACGACTGCTTCTTTCCGGCGAGCATCCAGGCGAGCATGGCACTGTGCTTCCTTCCGGTGAGATGCTTCGCAGAGGATGCAAAAAAAAAAAAGAAGAAAGAGGTGTGGCCAACAGTTGGCTGCCATCTCCCCACGAACGTCGCATGCAGCCACTGCCTCTGGTTTGGATCTCTGTAATTAGCAGCTAATCTCTTGGACCATTTTGGGCCAATTACAGTAACATGGAAATTTGTCTCTACATGCAGTAGCTAACTCCATCGTGTGCTCCTCACGTGACTGGCTGGGCCCGTCTCCTCAGTCCTCATTAGGAGATTAATCTCTGTAATTAGCCCAAAACCGCCGGTAAAAGAGGAAGGAGGGTTCTGTATCCAGATCAAATAGTTGGGGGGGGGGGGGTATTTCTTACTTTCGTGATAGTTGAAGGGGGTAATTAGGACTTAACCCATAAGAAAATAATGGCCACACTCGCACAATCAACAAAACAAAAAAATACCGGTAAACTCCAATGAAGCAAGAATAAGACTACTATATAATATGCTCAAAGCAATAAGCTAATTCGAATGTCTAATCAACAGCAGAGGTAGCAATAGAAACAAAGAGTCCAACATTTACAAGGCCAATTAGCTAAAAGATATTTTATCTTATAGTAGTACTATTTAAAAGAGAGAGTTGAGGTGATGGTAGGTTCATTACCAATCCCCACTATAGATCATCTATGACTGCAAATATGAAGGCGTTTCTGTGACTGTGTTATGCATAAAATTTTTATTGAAAAATACCGTGTCTTTGCATATGAGTATGTGTAGGCAAGCTGGTCTCATATATCATATATGAGTTTTAATTTGAGGATAATTATTTATTTATTGCATTTTATATATTAGACTTATAATATATTTAGCTGTAATGTGTTGCAATGTACGCACATGGTACTAATATTCATTAAAAAAAGTTATAAAATAGTGGCCTCTTATGATGTAGAACACTAGAACATGGTTTGGAGTAAAAGAAAAAAATAATAATTTTAACATGTGTTCTTGCCAAGATGTAACTAGAGAGAGCACTTATGTCCCCATCTGTGGATAATCATGCATATTTAACTTTGACTCACGTAAATGGCACAAAGAGATGCCTAGCAATGGTAAAACAAAATGGCTAACCTTCCTAATCTTTGATTTCTTAAACCACAAAAGTTGAACAAACAATACAGCACAATTCCAATTGTAGGTAATAGTAAATTTTCTGAAAAACAAACATATCGATGGGCCCAAGCAAAAAGTAAAAAAAAAGAAAAAAAACTAGGCAGTAAAAGTGCATGTATAATCATAAAAATCTCAACAAGACCCCACATCTGTGCTTGAGATATAGTATGTCGGAAATATAATGATGATGAATAAGTTGCTAACACCAAAAGTAAAAGTAACATCAAAACCAAAGCAGGAAGAAAAAAATGAATAGCCTTCTGATGTATTCCTTTGAGACTCTTTGTAACAGATCTCGATTGTATATTGGCTTTTGTTTGTCACAACCAATATTTATCCACAAATTGTTACTTTGTTTTGAAATTAACTATTGCCCCATTTGCATTCCACTTAGCAGTAGAATGCATACCCTTCATTTTGTCCTAAACACACCACACTCTCAACAAAGAAAAGCTTGATTGTGTATATTTATGGATGAAGAACATGCATGTCACAAAAAAGGCAACTTTCCTATATCTAACCAGATGATACTCTCACATGAGTAGCTAGCAGCCTAGTAACAGAATCTAATTTTGAAGGAAGCACATGGCATGACCAACAAACTCTTTTTTCCTTTTCAACTATACTGTACACTCATAAGCCTGTAATCTATAGAGAACTATACAACGTGCCTATAATGAGAGATTTTTCACTCTCCACATAAGTTATGTTCTGGCGTGCTTATCCCAGATTCCAGTTATATGTGACACATTTCTTCAAAGAAGAATACTCCTTATATGAGCATATTCCTGGGAGCAGATATACTTAATGTTGTGCAAATGTAAAATTAACAAAAGGAAAACCATACCTGGAAATGGGAACTGTTAAGGCAGCGCCCAATCTGCTTAAATAGTGGCACCATGCACCGCTGGAACTCGGCAGGCTGAGTCGCCTCAAGTACTTCCTCAAGCTCCCCGAGAAACAGTACCTCCTTTTGGCAATTTATGACAGGCCAGTACTTGAGAAGTCCCCTGATTACGGTATCCGCAAGTTTGTAGTCCTTCTCGACGAACTGAACAATGCAATAGGAGAGCTGCTGGTGGTAGATTGCAACGGACTTGGGCTTGTGCAATGGGATGAGTGCACGGGAGAGGAACAGCTTGTGTTCCTCCTTCATTGGCAGCGCAAAGCCATTAATGATGCTTCCCAGAATCTCGAGGAGCTCGCCGATACCGTTGTGGCGCTCGGTCTCAAAGATGAACCGGTAGAACACATTATTGATAGCCTTTCGGATGAACGGGCGGTGGACCATGAATTTGCCATAGATGCGATGGAGCACCGTCTTGAGATATTCGCGCTCGCGTGGATCCTCGGAGTCAAAGAGGTCCAGGAGGCGGAGAACAAAGGCGTGGTCCACGTATCGCTTGGCGACCTTGGTGTCTGTGTCCGGCGAGACGACATACCGGAGCAGGAGCTCGTAGACAAGCTGGAGGTGAGGCCAGGCCGGGTCGAGGTAGGGCTCCTCCTCGTCGTCGGGGGCGGCGCCAGGATCGATCGCGGCGGCCGACTCGTGCAGCGCGGGGGGCAGCGGGCGGAAGACGTTGACGGAGATGGCGGCGACGAGGGCCTCCTGGACGTTCTCCGGGAGGCGGGCGGGCGCGTTGGCGTTGGCCGCGGGGGAGGGCGCCTGCACGTAGTCGACGAGCTCGAGCAGCGCCTGGCGCTTGGCCTCCTTCTCCCGCGGGTGCTTGAGGGAGTCGGTGAAGTCGAAGAGCGCGGCGACGAGGCGGAGCTTGCGGACGAGGAGCCCCGGGCGGTCCGCGGCCGCCACGTCGCGGAGGAGCGGGAGCGGCTCGAGGAGCGGCGGCTGCGGCGCCGCCGCGGGCTGCTGCTGCTGGTGGTGGTGGGACGACGCCTGGTTGCTCGCCGCCGCGCCGGCGGAGGGCGCCGAGGCCGCCGCGGCCGCGTGCGGCGAGGGGGGCGAGGAGGGCGCCGCGGCGCGGGAGGCGTGGTTGACGGTGACGGGGGGCTGCGCGCCGCCCGACGACGACGACGGCGCGGCCGCGGCGGGGCGGCCGTGCGCCGCGTCGCCCCCGTCGGCGGCGCGCTGGCCCTTGCGGCCGCCGCGCTTGATGATCTTGTTGAACATGGTCGGCGGCGAGATCGGCGGCGGCGGCGGATCGATCGATCGATCGATCGATCAAATTGGGTTGGGCTAGGTGGGATTTGGGGATTTGGAGGAGGGGGAGATGGTGTGGGGCCCGCGTGGCAGGGAGAGGGGAGGAGGTGGTGGCCTGGGGAAGAGGAAGGAAAGGGAGAGGAGCACGGGCGGATTTTCGGATTTATTTTCGGCATGTATTTTAGGCGGTATTTTCTTTTTTGTTTGCAAAGGAGTGTTTTTATGCCGTTTCTTTTGGGTGGTTATTTGATCATTTTTCTTTTAATTTCTGTTTAGAAACAGTAGTATCATATACTCCCTCACTACCGTAAAGGAAGTCGTTTAGGCCAGTGACACGGTCTTTAAAATATTACTTTGACTTCTTTCTATAAAAATATTTATTAAAAAGTTATATATGTATACTTTTATGAAAGTATTTTTCAAGACAAATCTATTCATATATTGTTTACATTTTCAAACTCAATCACTTGAGAGTTATTCATGATTTATATTTCCAAGATTTGACTTAAACATTGTCATAAACGACTTCGTTTACGAGTACGGAGAGAGTATGTGGCTGGGCCAGTGGAAAATTTATTATTTTGTTGTGCTGAATTGAGCAGCTTTTTGTGCTTTGATAGGAGATGTCTTCTATGATATTTTTTTTACAACAAAAAAAATGAGACTTTTTTTTATAACAAGGAGCAGTAATTTTTTTTATTATAATTTATTTGACAAATAAGTCAAGAAAATTTTTTTAAAAACATCCTCCAAGGGCTTCTTTGAAATGCAGGGTTGCAAACAAAAATACAATAATATGATAGAAATGCACATATCAGATGGAACGCAGGGTTGCAAAAACGCAATAATAGAAAATATACAAGAACGGGATAGAAATGCACATATCAAAAGGGATTGAAAAACCACAGGAAATTTGTCGGACTGATTGTTCGGACGGAGTATAACCGAATTATCATCTACCAGTGCTTAAATAATTGGAACTAAGCAATAACCATTCGTTAATATTGTCCCTCTCACATCCAGTGTGGGGTTAGTGGCTTGATCGTCTCAATCCTAAACGAAATGGAAATATGAGCTCCGACTGGATGGGAATTTTCATGTGTTTATTGCATTGCATTTGTAGGATATAAATTTTTCCTCTACTATTTCCATGACCAAAATTTCCAACCAAAGGATGATACAGTGACGCAGTTTACAGGATTTTGAATCGTATGTGTTTTTTCTTTACTTTATCTATCCAAAGGAGCTCTATATGCTCATCAAACTCATTATGTGCTAATTAGCTCATAGTTATTCTTTGGATCATCCTATCTCTATCATACTATTCATGTCCTATGCTTATTGCTCATGAAGCTTCTACCTTTATACTACTAATTTCTACTCTGGCTTGATCTCCTCTACTCCTTACAACTCACATGCCTAGCCACAATATGTATATATCAAGTTAATACAATTTAACATATTGGACGCTGCACACTTATCGCGATGAGGAAGGAGTAGGGAGGTAGATCAATGTTATCTACAAAATATATCTGTAGAAAGTATTTTTGTAAAATACTTATTGGGGATAATATCAATAAAAGAACCACTCATGCATGCACCATTGATTTTATGGCTATCGTCAGCAATGGTGGCCACACTCACTAGTCAATTGAGATTTGAGTGGGAGAGGAGGACATACTTTGCCCATCACTACTTATATTAAGTGCAAGTGTGTAACAAAGTTTAGATATTTTTATGTCTTCCTAATATCAAAGTGGAATTAAGAGAGTTAGTTATGGAAGGGACAAGACTGTAATATATAGTACTAGAATGATAAACCAATCAAATTAGAGTGCTCCCAATACAGTCGACATTGGTATATCTCGATTCTAAGAACGTAGATATTTTAGTGTTCAAATTTTATCCCATAATATAATTATTTATCCATTACCCTCTCATCTCAACCAATCACAACCACCCTCATATAATTTATTCACCTATTTTTCTCCTTTTTATTAATCGCAACATTTCCTATTTAATTCAACCTACTTAATACTTACGTCCAACTTTGAAAATACTTACATTTTACAGCAGAGAGAGTACACCACATAGACACAAACAACTCTGAGCATAGTCTCTCCTACTGTATGAAACAATTAAACAATTTATCGTTCTAACGGAATTTGGTGATTTAGTGCTAGTGTGCTACCAAAACTGTTTATATGCCCCGATGCAACATTTGATTATATTATTGATTGTTATGTGGTCAAAATTTCCTCCAAGCATATGCAAGTTGCATTGCTATTGCCCGATGAAAGTTTCATACAAAAGCCTGAATTATACTTTAGAGGACATCCATAACAACTAAGAAGAGATGATATACAACGAAGAAATTAAAGAATGTAAGGTTGTGTTTAGATCAAGGGGTAAAAAGTTTTGGCGCGTCACATCGGATATACAGACTCACATTTGAAGTATTAAATGTAGACTAATAACAAAACAAATTACAGACTCCGCATGTAAACTGCAAGACGAATTTATTAAGTCTAATTAATCCATCATTAGCAAATATTTATTGTAGCACCACCTTGTCAGATCATGGAACAATTATGCTTACAAGATTCGTCTTGTAATTTACACGTAATATGTATAATTATTTTTTTACCTATATTTAATCTTTTATACATGTATGCAAATATTCGATGTGACAGGGTGAAAAAATTTGCCAGTGGATCTAACCAAGCCCTAGCTCCTCTTGTGCATGTATTGGGGGTAGCTCCTCTTCATCTCAAAAGAAAAGGGAAAAAAAGCTTTATTGATTAAGTAAAATTGCCAAGGCGATGACAATGCTATCTAGCAAATTTTGCTTTGTTTGCGATGTCGTATTGTAGTAGCATAACAATGGATTGATTTGGGAGCATCAAATCCATGGCCAGCCTAGGATTTTAAACGGATTTCAACTTCCTAAATCCACCCTTAACCTGCCAAGTCCATGCATTTTCGTCCTTTGGTAGTATCTGCCATGTCAAAGCGTTGAGAACTTGCCTGATCATGAGCCACCATAGTACTGAGTATAGTTTATGAATATTTATACTAATATATAAATAAACAAAAATCACGGTACACATGTTACTTTAGGTGTGAAACAAAGATTTATTGCTTGCCGAGTCCAATTAGAGAGAAGAAAGGTGATAGAGGCGGGGAGCTTTTGGATAAGTGTCATGCAGAAACACTATAGATACGGAGATCGTGACAGGCATGTTGGCTCGGATTGGACCAACTGGAGGACGAGATATCTGACCTTTTTAAGAAATCTTTTCTCTAACGCCAGCATCATATATTTCATATAGAATTTATTAAAATATACTTCCTCCATTCCATTTTAGTGCAGTTGTGAGTTTCTGTGTTATTTAAAACTTTTCTACCATTAATATTTTTATTGTTATTAGATGATAAAACACAAATAGTATTTTATACGTCACTTATTTTTTTTAATCTTCTCATAAATTTTTCAAATAAATAATTTTTTCAAATAAGAAGTATGGTTAAAAGTTGAACACGAAAAGCCACAACTACACTTGAAATTGGACGTTGGGAGTAGATACGAAATGCTGCATATATTTCAAGCAAGGCAACGAGTAATGTCAGAATATTGAAGTTTTACTGATTCAGGGATCCAACTGATGATAATCTGTACCATCTTTTACAGAAGAAATGATAGGAAAAAAAAAGAACATGAAACGAGGATGCTGCTTCCACAATGCATGGATCGAACACATCAGCCACTGGTAACAAACAAATAAAACCACACATCAGCATGGTAATGGCTTTTCTGGCTACCGCTTTCTGGACGGAAGATAAAGCATACTAAGGTTTCTCACAAATGTGCTGGGCCGGCATAATTTAGCCACTGTTTCTGTAGTAATCCTTGCAGATTAGATTGATGATACCATGCAAGCCTTAATCACCATGTACAAACCACAGAAAGCATTCAGCAAATAGGGAATCAGGCAGACAACCACTCAGTGCAATGCGAGCCAATTCAGAATCCAAAACAGTCTGATAGATAAACTTTTTGCCAGAATCAAAACAGTGCTGGAGGTTCTAATACATAATAGATATAACTGTGCCAGAGCATTCACTAAACATTCAGCCATGCGAAACTGCAAGCGTTAAACCGCAAATACATAACTTGATTCTGCGAAAGGCTTCACTGGAAGCGATCATCAAAGCGTCCTCCTCTGCTAGGGCGGTCATACGGCCCAGATCTGTCCCTGTAGCTTCCTCCATCATAACGAGCAGGCCCTCCACCACCGTAACGGTCAACACCACCGCCACGTGGGCCATCCCTGTCATAGCCACCACTTATACCACCCCTTGGGCCATCCCTGTCATAGCTTCCACCACCCCTTGGGCCACTCCTATCATAGCCGCCATTGCCACGCACTCCATCCCTCTCGTAGCTTCTTTCTCGTTCCCGGCCATAACTACTAGGCTGATAGCGATCGGGACCTCCATATCTGTCTGGAACATAGCGGTCACCACCTGATGGGTATCGATCATTAGCATATCGGTCACGGCCTCCACCATACCTGTCTCTGACATCAACAGGTTCACGGTACCCACCATCATAACGATCATCCATGTAACGGTCTCCAAACCTATCTGATCCAGAAAAACGGTCTCCTCTGCCACCAGCGCTGAACTTAGAAGAAGAGTATCGCGCAGAACGACCACCACCAGGATTAGGGCAATCACGAGCCCAATGACCAGCACGGCCACACTCAAAGCAATTGCCTGGGGGTGGTCCATCACCTCTACCACCACGATACTCTCCTCGTCCACCACCACTTTCATACCTTGTGTCATCTGTATTCATCTTAGGCTCAGCCTTGTTCACTGATATAGTCCTGCCATCTAATTCTTGACAGTGCATTTCTTTAATAGCGCTATCAACTGCCTCTGGATCTGAAAATGTCACGAAGCCAAAACCACGATGGCGTTGGGTGTGTCTCTCCAGCATGATCTACAATAAGAAACGCTTATCAATATCGGAATGCACATAATGATGAGAAAAAATAAACCAAGTGAGGACTAAGCTCAAGTCAGCAGCGTAATATTAGCATAGCTCATATCCATACGATAAAACCCCAAAACATCCAACTTCAGCAAGGGACCAAGGGGCGAAAAAAAATTAATTTCAGCAAATAATTTGCTGAATTCAGTACCAAAAGGATGACATGACATTTCAATTCATATTTCAATTTTATCCAGAACTGAAGTATATCGTAACTCAATAAAAGGATTATCAGTTGTCACAGACAGCAACATAGAACAACATGTATTTTGACCATATGACCAGGTGAATATAGAACGCTATGAATAGCTAATGTCTACAAGCTAGATCAGCATTATAAAGACCATGCCTTCACTTTAGCTCAGAAAAGAAAATGCAACCACTAATAAACTCAAGAATTTAAGGCATTTATGTAATAAAGCTTGTCAGTGAAACAGATTACCCGAGCAATGAAAATCTTTCAGAGACAAATTTAGGATGGTTACAAGACAACAGAAATTCATTACCTTAGAACAGCGCTGAAATATTGTTATTCCAGATAACAATTATTCAACCGAACAAATAAAATTTCTGTAACACAGCTGCTTGTAGCTGTAACTACCATTGAGACTGAATATTCCCAAGACAGTAAACCTCATTATCACTGACAAGCAGCACAGCAATAAAAAAATCTGTCCATTCTCGGTCCTAGAAAAGTAACACATTGTAGCCAAGCTGTTGTTTTTTGCTGTTACCCCCTTTTTCAACAAAACTTTCAGTTAAACTTACTCATTGGACTTCTCTGAATAGCCCAAACATCACCTGTTGTCTGGATTCCTACTGTACATCCCATTTCAACTAAACCAATTGAAACAAACTAAAAGTCAAGATGCCAAAACCTCCTGGCCATCAAAATATCAAATCAACCAGCTGAGCAGATGAAACCATCTACTAACTTGAGCAAATTCCCACAACAAAGGATGATCATCATGGAAAGTGTCTGATGTGTTCACAGCAAAACAATAGTACTCCCAGGTTCATCATGGGAAGTGTCTGATGTGTTGCCAAGCTTGTCTGGCACATATGTTCACAAGGCAATCTTATGACACCACAAGCGGAGCAGACGAAGGCAGCACAAAGCAATATCTGATAAACACAGTGAATCAAAGGTGTGGCTTGGTTGAGCTGAGGGCTAACATCAGCTTCAGTGGTTATCCTTCAAAATGTCCACTAGAACTACACAATGTCCACTAGAACTACAGAGTGTCCAATGCACCAAAGAACAGATCTGGGATTTCAGCTCCACCTCATCTCGTCAAATATATTACTAAATATAACAAACAATTTATAGGCTACAATGATAGCCCTTAAAACAGATGGTGACTAAGATTGAATAATGCAGAAAACTGTTTTCGCAGTCAACAGCAGAAACATAACTTGAGTAAAACAGAAACAAATAAAACAAATTGATTTCATCATTAACAATTGCACAGAAACAAATAAAACAAATTGATTTCATCATTAACAATTGCACTATTAGTGTTGAACTTTTCATCCAATAGATGATGCAAAACAGAAGGTTCGTACTGTTTTCACAAAAGAGCAATAGAAAACCAAAGAAGTTGTGACAAAAGAACCAAAAAGACAATGTTACATGACATAACACACCTGTCAAAGGAAAAAATAACAATGCGAATGGAAATTACTAATAGCACGTAGACATGGTTCCCTATAAAAGAAATTGTGATAACTAAATAATGCACACAACACCCTTCTAATCTTTTCAACAAACGTATCAGGGTAATATGAACAGTGCACTGCAAAAGGTCAACTGATTTTCATGTCCATAAACTTGGTGAGAAGCCACTGAAGTAATCCCATCAGCAGACTCTGGTGTTGCATAGCAGAATACCAGTATCACCTGGTTCACAAAAGAGCCACAAAAGCTACCGAACCACTGCAGGTATTCAGTGTGAAGTAACACTGCAAAGTGCAAACCTTGTTTCTTCTATCATACCAGAAAGCTGAACGAAAAATGCCAGAGCACAACCAACGGTTGGATCAACTGAATGTTAACTGTTTATGGATGAAGTCCATGGGACACAGCACCCAGCCACGTACTTCAGGCATCTAATCGTACGAGCACCATCACATGTCTCCTCAGGAAAGCAACTTCCACCTCAAGCTAATTCTCAAAGTGCACTCGGGAAAAAAAAAGTTCTCTGTTCCTTTAACAATCAAAAGAACGATGCGCATTCCAAATCCGCTAATTTTCCAGCTCATCAAGCAACGAGTAGCTGAGAAAGATCACAATTAGATCTCGACTAAAAAGAGAGAAAACAAGAGCAATGAGTAATCCTGAGGTGGCCACGAACAAAATCAAAATCATTACAGAGTACTTCCTACAAAAACGAGTATAATTTCACTTCCTTCAAGACAATAAAATCAACTAAATTTACAGCCTTTTTCTATTATCATCAGGAGCTAACAAGTTTTATCCTGTTTGAAGAATAAAACGGAAATAATATTTGGAATAAAACGGAATTAATATATGGCTTATGATGAAGAAGTGAATTACTTCTGCTACCTTCAAAGGCAGCGAATTTTTGAACTTTTTGGTATTTACGGTGTGTAACACAGATTTTAGACCCAGAAAGGCGTACCAAAGTGAAGAGATGAATGAATGAATATAATCTCAAACATATTCATAAACAGCAGCACATCCACCTCCTTACCTCCACCACGCGGCAACCCACCATCCTTCCTTCAAACCGCATCCACAGACCCCCAAAAAAATCCACAAAATTCCTAGATCTAGTAGCGGCAGCATCCAAAAAAATTGAAAAAAAAAGAGCATACGTAACACGGAGCTGCGGCTCGAGCGATCGATGCGGTAGGGTACCTGGGCGTCGACGACCTTGCCGAAGCGGCGGAACGCGTCGGCCAGCTTGCGCTCGTCGGTGTGGAACGACAGGCCGCCCACGAAGATCCGGCCCTCCTCCTTCCCCGCCATTGCGCCCTCCTCCTCGCCTCCGCCTCGGTGGCTTCCGCTCTCGCGGATTCGGATGGCTAGGGTTTGGATCGGGGGAAGAGAAGAGGTGAGATAGAGGAGAAGAAGCCGCGGGGATGGAAAATGCTGAAGAAATCGTTTGTTAGTCGGTTCGCATCGCTCGCGTGCGGCGTGGCGGCTCGTGGGCCGGCCCTGTTGGTTGGTTGGTTCGGCCCTTGGGGTAGGTCGGTGGGTGTCAAGGCCCAGATTAGTTTCGTGAGAATTGGGCCGACCTAATGGGCCATAACTCTTCGGGATCACCTATACATTTGGGGAAAAAGGTACACCGAAGGTCCCTCAACTTGTCATCTAGTTATAAAATTGTCCCTCATCTGCAAAACTGGATACAACGCATCCCCCAATTTAAAAAATCAGTGCAATCTAGGTCCCTCGGCGGTTTTGACTCCAGTTTTGTTTGACGTGGCAGCTGACTCAGCGTGGGCCCCATACGTTAGGTTGCCATGTCATCATCATCTCTTTCCCCTCCTCTCCCTTCCTCCTCTCTCTTTATCAATTTTCTTCTCATACGGGCCGGAAGATGGGAAAGGGCGGCCGACGACGGGCGATGCGGTGGCGCGGTGACGAGAGAAGGGGCGACGCGGCGGAGGCGGGCCGAGAGCAGGTGTGCGACACGGGAGAAGGGGCGACGCGGCGGCAGCGGCCCGGGAGCAGGCGGGCGCCATTTGCAAATCCGTGGCCTCGTCGGAGTCGTTCTCCGGCAGCGGCTGCGCATGGTCCGCGCCCGTTCCGCCGTGTCCTTCCACTCCCTCACCATCCCGCGCACCCTCTCGCGCATCGCCTACGGCACCGTAGGGCACCTCACCGCCTGCTTGTCAACCATGGTGAACCTCGCCGGATTGACGCAGTGCTTGAGCGCGTCGGGGAGCTCGGCGCGGAGCGCGTCCACCTCCTTGCGCCTCGCTACCATGAAGGTGAAGAACACGGCCAAGTCCATGCTAGCGCAGAGCGACTTGAGTCCCTCGGCGATTCTAGCGGTGTCGGCGGAGCCGGTCGTCCCCGCCTTGCTCTTGGCAAGGGAATCGAACTAGGAGAGCCCGAGCAAGGAGCTGTCGATGGAGACCTCCCGGCAGCGGAGTGCCTTGAGCCTGCGGGAGGTACGCACGTCGAGGAAGTGGCACTTGGTGCGGAGAATCTCGGAGCGCGCGGCGAGGCGGCGCTCCAGCGAGCCAACGTGAGCTGCTGGTACAGGCGCGTGCAGGTCGCCAGCAGCTGTTGCTGCCGCTCCAGCTCCGCGAAGCCATTCCTCACCGCCACGCTCGTCGCCAACTCCACCCCCACCGCCGCCTCTGCCGCCGGAGCGGCCATCGCGCAGGTGAGAAGGAGCTCGCCACCGCCGCGTCGCCATGCCACCCCGCCGCTCGTCGCCGGCCGCCCTTTTCTGCCTCGCTACGCCAGCCGGGTGTAGGTGGCATGGGGAAGGGATGGCGCAGGCGGAGGACCGACGGGAGACCAGCGGCAGGCGGTCGTGGATGCGGCGCTGCCCTGGTGACCTCCTCCCCACCTGCCCCGGCTTGCCCGAGAGGAGAGAAGAGAGAGAGAAGGGAGAGGAAAGGGAAAGAGAGAGTGGCTGACCTGGATAGGCTGACACATGGGTCCCACGCTAACTCAGCTGCCATGTAGATCAAAACCAGGACCAAAACCGCCGAATGACCTCGGGTGCCGGTTTTATATAGTTAAGGGACCCCGCATATCTGGTTTTGCGGTTTGAGGATGTTTTTTATCTCGCTGACAAGTTGAGAGACCTTCGCTGCACTTTTTCCTACATTTGGGGTGTGGTTAATGGGCTGGTGATCGATGTGGGCAATCACCCCCCATCCCCCCTTAACACGCTCCTCTTCCCCTTCCTCCTCCCCTTTTCTCTTCCTACTACACCATAAATTTTTAAAAAAAAGTTAGAAAAATTTATATATATATATATATATATATATATATATATATATATATATATATATATATATATATATATATATATATATATATATAATATTTGAATTCAAATTCAAATTTGAATCGGGTATATAAACTTTGGGTCTATAGACTTTAGATGTATAGAAAATATTATATATAAAAAATATTTGAATTCAAATTCAAATTTGAATTGAATATATAAACTTTTGACTTATAAACTTTGGGTCTCTAAACTTTAGGTGTATAGAAATACTATATATAAAAAAATTTGAATTCAAATTCAAATTTGAATCGAGTATATAAACTTTTGACTTATAAACTTTGTGTCTATAAACTTTAGATGTATAGAAAATGCTATATATAAAAAATATTTGAATTCAAATTCAAATTTGAATTGGATATATAAACTTTAGGTCTCTAAACTTTAGGTGTATAAACTTTATATGTGTAAATTTGAGGTGTTCAAACTTTAGGTGCATAAATTTACTAAAATAGGAAAGTAATGCGGTGCCAAAAAAGGAAACCACGTGAAGGAGGAGGGGGTGATCGCTAGAGGCGATCGATCGCCCATTAGACTTTTCGATACATTTGTCGACAAATTCTCTTCTAAAAATTTAACAAATAAAATTATAGTACAAATCGTGATGTAATTTCACTAGCTTGTATGTAACTTTAAAAAATCTCTTTGTAACATGCTATTTCGGTGAAACGGAGGTCATGGGAATGAATCCTCACATGTGTGTGTTGTGACTTTTTTCTTCCACACTTGCACAAATCTTGAAACAAATCTATCAGTCCAAAATTATGTGAAAGTTATGCATAAGTTGCACTGTTATTACATGCAAGTTACTGTATAATTACACTACGATTATACTATAATTACATCTGTCAAATTTTGGGAAATGTGTTGCCAAATGTATATCAAAATTGAAAGCTTCTATAGATTGTAGATTGTGGAACAATACGGCTCTCTGGTCCATGGGTTCTTTCACGACTTATTTTTTATTATTTTATTTTTTATTAAAAATTACAAAAAATAAATTCCCAATTCAAAATTTTACAAAAATGTAATCCTCCCCATTCTCCCGTAGGGAGATTTGTTTATATGTTTCAAAAAATAGGGTACGAGTCAAATACTTTTGATTGAAGATCGATACTGTGAGGATTTATTATTATCATTTTCAATGCATTGTTGATTTTGCGTCTTTGCTACAATTTTTTATGGATAAAAATGGCTAAATCCCTCGTAAGGCACCATCGGTTGACATCATACAAAGAGCAATCGAACGTCGCTACATGCCTGAATGCTAGTTGGATGAAGAGCGTAAGAGGATGGAGGAGAAAGAATGCAAGAAGAAGGAATATATTGCAACAGGAGGAGAAAGCAACTTTATTAATGGAAAAAGAAATTGAACCATTAGTTTTCGATTTGTGGCACATACACCAACATAAGAAAGTTAAGAAGTCGCATATATGAACTATATAAATTGTCTCTTGAGCTTGTCTACCAACCCTTCTACATCGTTCGATGTGTATTACAATTTTGTGCTCCTTCATTCACATGTATTCTATTTGTGTTTCAGCTTCAGCTACTCTACCGCTATCATACGTCGGATTGACCATGTTGATCCACAAAGTGAATTTGTACCTCCTTGAATTGGCCTGAGAAATAAAAATAGTTAGTCAATGAGGATATGTATTATGAAAACGCTAACGGAAATGGAAAATGTAAGGTTGTGACATACAACTTCTATGTTGGGATAAACAAAATATCTCCTTCCAAATATCTCTTCAGCAACGGAGGTAGCTACCTGGTAACGATCTCTACAACCGCATTTTGGACGCTCAGACCATTCAGGTAGATTTAATGAATTGTCTCTCTAGTGTAAGCTAGCAGACTACACCCATCACTCATACTCAATCCACATTCGAATGAATTGGGTGGTCGTTTCAGGTTGTGTTATCCTTGCACCGATGAAAGTTACTCTCACCATATCGATCCACTTCAAAGTCACATTCCCTTATGTCTTCCTGCTTGCACAAATTCATTAGGACCGATAACATAGAAGCCGTATTTCCATACGTCCTCCTGCTTGCACAAATTCATTAGGACCAGCGGAAGTTACTCTCACCATATTGATCCACTTTACGAAGCCGGACGCCACTAGACTACAAGGGTTGCAAACGCGCTGTCGAGCACCAGCTCCAAAACAAAAGATCATCAACAATCTCCTGGCCATCCTCACAGAGAAGGGTTGGAAAGGGAGAGGGCGATAGAGAAGAAGATCCGCTCAACCCTCATCCAACCTGGTGAGAGAAGCTTGAGAGACAAAAACGCCGACAACCAAGCCGACAACCAAGTTGAGAGAAGCTTGTGACGGCGGGAAAACAAGAACTCACAGACAATGCCCCAAGGAGATCACGACGCCAAAGACGTCACCATCATCCATCCAAAGACTAGGCTTTCATCCGGAGAATCTCGTTAGGGCGGAGAAGACAAAAGCTTGACAGCGTTCCGCAGGAGGGGGGGGGGGAGGCTGCCAAGCCGAAGAACTCTGAGCGAACCCTTTGTTGTCGGCGCAAGACGTTCCCTCTCCCTAACTTGTTGCGTCTCCACTCTCCACCACCCAATCAGGCTCCGTCAACATGCAGTCCCTCCGGCCAGCCACCTTCAGCGCTACAGGGTCAGCATACCATTCATTCCAGCAGCATTACGTGTGATGCCATCGTAGATTTCACTTGAATGAAGCGATTGTGTCACTAGGCTATATAGTCGATATCACTACTTCGAACAATGTTCACACAAACACGACCATGGACACCGTGGTCTAGAGCTGTAAACTTTTCAGCACTGATATATTTCAGAAAAATTAAAACAGTGAGCAATCTATTTTTTAAAATTTTTTTTCTAAAGGTCTTTTCCAACGCAGTGAACAAATTTCGATTAGATCTGACCGTCCAGAAATCGAAAATCTTTTTTAAGAAAAGTAAAAGAACTGGCTAGCAATTCTGGTTAATTAACAGGGCCAGCAAGATGTGATCATGTGACCGACTGACCGGGCGTGTACTGTTGCGTCGCACGTAACCACACGTACGGTAACGGTACAATCAATCCGTGCCCGTTTGACCACGACTCACACCTGTACGTTCACGTTTGCTTCTCCTTCCTACCTCTTGCTACACGCTGCACACCTACCACTCAAACCTTGGTGGTGCCATTGCCGCCGCCGCCGCTACTCCCGCTGGCCTCGTCGTCGACCTTGACCTGCCGTGCTCCTCCTTCCTCCCCTCCCGCCATGGCGACCTCCCTGAACTTGCCGTACAGGTCGCCGCGGTAGAACTTCCTCGTCCGCCACGCCAGCAGCAGCGACACGGCGGCGCCGAGCAGCGTCACGGCGGCGATGATGAGGAACGACACCCTGAAGCACCTCACCCCGGCGCACGTCAGGTCCCTGCTTCCCCTCCTCGCCGCGGCGCCGCCGCCGGCGGCGGCCAGCTGGCGCTCCGCCTCCCGGTCGTAGAGGTGGCCGGTGACGCGGACGTTGAGGATGTAGGAGCCGACGGGGCTCGCCACGGCGCCGAAGTTGTAGAGCGTGGAGTAGTACTTGAGGCCGAACACCTCGGAGATGATGGCGAACAGCAGCGGCCACTGCGCGCCGAAGCAGAAGCCGAGGATCACCGACGCCGCGTAGAGGCCGTTGCCGACGCCGAGCGCGATGAGGAGGTGGCCGGCGGTGGCGAGGAGGAGCACCGCCGTGAGCGCCAGCGGCCGCGGCAGCTTGTACGCGGCGAGCACGTACTCCGAGCCGAACCCGGCGGCGACGCGGCCGGCGTAGTTCCAGATGCTGACGAGGGAGACGAAGGTGGAGATGCTCCGCTGCGGGTAGCCCAGCGACTGCCCGATCTGCCCCATGTTGTCGATCGCCGTCAGCGTGCCGCCGATGCCGCAGATGGTGGCCACGAACAGCACCGCCATGTCCACGCTGAACAGCGCCTGCAGTATCGTGTAGTCCTCCCCCCTCGCCGGCGGCCTGAACACGTCCTGCATGCACGCCACCGGCTTGTCGTCCTCGCCGCCGCCGCCGTCGTGCTCCTTCTTCTCGTCGACGGTGGAGCTCGTCGTCGTCGGCGGCGGCGGAGGCTGGAGGTAGGTGTTGAGTTCTTGCTTGACGACGATGACGAGGGGGAAGAAGATGAGGAGGAGGAGGACGGTGGCGGTGACGTAGTACGCCGGCTTGGGGAAGCCGACCACCTCGAGCTCGACGACGTTCATGACGAGGAGGTAGACGGCGAGGACGATGGAGGCGTAGAGGAAGTAGAAGAACGCCTTGCGCTCCCGCCGCCTCCGCGCGTCCGCGCCCGCGGCGGCGGCGTCGCGCGGCATGATGCGGATGGTGGGGATGAAGAGCAGCGAGATGGCGGCGGGGAGCCACGCCATGAGCAGCACGAGCGACGCGCCGTCGTCGTCGGCGCCGTAGATGGCGCGGTAGAGCTGCGTGAAGATGGCGCCGCTGAGGCCGACGAAGCCCTTGAGCAGCCCCAGCACGACGCCGCGGTCCTCCGGGAAGTTCTTGACGGCGGTGACGAGCGCGCCGGTGTTGGCGAACGACTGGGAGTTGGCGCCGACGGCGATGTAGAGGCACATGAGCCACACGGGGGGCCGCGGCGTGCGCCCCGACACGGCGAGGTAGATCATGAGGTAGCCGGCGAGGTTCATGGCGGCGCCGGCGGCGAGCACGACGGACGGCGGCGTGACCTCGTTGATGAGGCCCGGGAGGACGCCGACGTTGGCGCCGACGTCCTTGAAGAAGCTGAGCGTGTTGAGCGTCTGCTGGTCGTAGCCCAGCGAGGTCTTGATCGCCTTGGAGTAGATGCCGAAGATGTACGTGCCGCCCGCCGCCGCCATGATCAGGATCGACGCGAAGAACATGAACCACCGCCCCCGCACCACGTGCGCGCCGAACCGCGCCGCCGCCGCCACGCCATCGCCGGAGCCGGGGCCGGAGACGCCGAACGCCATCGTCGCGAGCTCGTGATCGATACGCTTCTACGGTTCTACCTCTCCACCAGCGTACGGGGCCGCGGGCTATTTGTAGGGAAGCCTCAAGCCGGTGTAGTGAGGACAGTAGCGAGCTTGGGTGATGTGAAGTGTGAGCTTAAGGCGATCCCACCCTAAAATTTTTCACCTTCTCACATCGAACGTTTAAACACCTGCATAAAGTATTAAATATAGGCTACAAAACAACTAATTACACAGATTACGAATAATTTGCGAGATGAATCTTTTAGACCTAATATATTGCTCTATGATTTGACAATGTGTTGATACAGTAAACATTTGCTAATGACGGATTAATTAGACTTAATAAATTCATCTAGCGGTTTTACTGATGGATTCTGTAATTAGTTTTTTATTAGTGGCCCGAACACCCTATACGACAACATATATAATATCCAATGTGACAAGCGCAAAACTTTACACCCTAAATCTAAACACCCCCTAATATTTTGTCCACATGAACGAGTGTGATTGTAGGAGCTAGCTGGGCGGGCGTGCAACTAATCACAATCAAAATGAAGATTTTTTTTCTAGGAAAATCAAAATGAAGATTCTTTCCATAAGTTTCGTCTCCAACAATTTTGTTTCTCGATTTTGTCTATCCATATTCTTGGCTCATTTCAAAAGGAAAATCCGGATTTTGGAGCATAACACATAATTAACGGGTTGAAGCGTCCCAGCTGAATAACCGCTTTATGCTTTTCTGATGACAAATTTAGAGTAAATTGCATCCACGGTATAATAACTTGGCAGGTAGGTGCGATATAGTGCAATAACTTGAGAATTGAACGTCCGAGTGCAACAACTTGACAAGTGGGTGCGTTCTAGTAGTACAAAAACTTAACAATTCAGTATTTCGGTGCATCAACTTGGCTAAGCATATGCAAGGTGAGTTTTTTTCACGATATTAATATGCCATTGCATAGTAATCATACGGATATTACCTTATAAGCACATAGTAGTACATTTTACATCCAATTACCTTTAAGATTTTTTTTGTTTTCTTCATCTTATCAAATATCAACCGAAATATAATAATTTCTACATATAGTTTAATTGGCTTTCAATTATTAGTTATTAGGATAAAAATATAAATATGCTTATATAAATCTGCGCTAGTATATTATCAAAATTAGTACTTAAAAATTAAATTTATATAAAAAAAATGCTCCAAATAATTAAGTTGTAGCATAACCATTTAATTTATTGTATCAAAATCGTACATACTTTGCAAGTTGTTGCATTTATATGATCACTTATAAAGTTCTTATACTAAACTGCACCTAACTACCATGTTGTTGCACCATAACGCTCATTTCTCAAGTTATTGCACCAAATTGCACCCACCTGTCAAGTTGATGTACCGTGGATGCAATTTACTCACAAATTTATATATGACATCTAATTCGCACACCTTTTGTTTTTTCCTCACTCAACCCATCCAAAAGGAGTGTGGATTTTATTGGCAAAAGAAAATAGGAAAAAGTCCAAATAACACTCTAAACTTTGGATGGAAATCCGTCTAGCACCCTGCATTTTGAAACCAAACATTCAACCTCCTAAACTTTACAATACCATTTATATAAACCCACAAGATGGTTTTGCATAGTGGTTTTTATCTAATTTGTATATAAGTTGGATGAGTTTGATCACATGTCATACACTTTTGACATATATATATATATATATATATATATATATATATATATATATATATATTAAAATCTTGACTTAAATATTTCTTTTTGCTCCTTAATTATTAGCTCTCACTTACAAACAAGTACCAACGTAATAATAGCATAATATCACTGTATAAGAATAAATTGATGATTTATAACTGATCATACGCATATATGTTATACTCCTGCCAACCATTGTTGACTGGTTTTATGATAAAATACTTCGTCACTTTGTGTTGGAGCAAGGAGCTCCTCTAGCGGGAAGGCAAGGTACCCTCCCTTGAGAGTTTGACCAGCGTGTAGGTTCCGAGCTCATGCACGAGTGGAACAAAAAAGATGGAGACATGGGAAAGCCATGGGAAGCATGCACGGGCCACATCCTCCACATCACCTGTGATCTCGAGTCCTAGCGCTATCCTTAGGGCCCTAGCCCACCTACAGCGGTTGTCAGGGCCCAGAGGTGATGAAGGCTTGTCCCCGAGCTATTGCTGCCCTCAGGTCGCCTTTGTTAGCTCAGGGCAATACTTGGGACCTTGTGCTAGCTCCCACTTTCGCCATGGTGGGTCCCGCTGTGCCCTGAGCATCCGATGAAGTGGGAACACTTGTTCTCGCTTTTCCGATAGTTTGATAACCCAACTGCTAATAACGAAATACCTAGTGTTTGAGACGGTCGTGTTTGTTGGATGAACATATCTTATTACTAATACCTCCGATAGTCGCTAGAATACGCCACGGGTGAACTTTCCAACATTATTTTTTGGCGAATTCGTCCTAGATTGATGATGGATTCCCTGTTCGTCATAGAAAACCTATCAAGTAAGCCCAGATTTATTATAGTGATATTGTCAAAATTTTCTTTTCCTAATAGGGCTGCCTATATACATTTTTCAAGGAAAATACACCTTTACCATAGTCAAAATTTTCCATCTGTCCGATCAAGATTTAGCGGTCTAGATCGATTAACCCATTCAACACACATACCAAACATTGACCTCCTATTCTTCTACCGCCAGCCACCACCACCATCCCCGCCTTCTGTTTCAAAGTGCATCGCCTTCAACGACATATATCAGTGTGCTCATTGGTGACCACCGTCTGCTATGGCTTTTTCCTAACCTTTGGCGTGGTGCTCCCACCCTGCTCTCCTCCTCCTGCTATATCTGCCACCACCACATGTCACCTCCTTACCACTGGGCTAAGAAGATTCTCCCACCGTCACCACTGCCCACAACCCTCCTCCGTCCCCGTGGCTCCAACATCACCACCGTTGCTTCACCGCCTTCCCATCGTCCTAAATGTTTTTAATATTTACAAGAATATGAATGGTTAGGTTAATGCCTACGTAAGTGGGATATCATGTATGTAGAAAACTCTATTAATAGTTTGGTACGAGTACTATAGTACAGCACCGGTATGACGAGAGGGCACCACTAACTGAGATCGTGCATGGACTCTGGAGTCCATGGAATGGCCCGAATCTGTGGGTTGATCACTTGATCGGCCGGTCAATTCGTGAAACCGTCGTTTTCTCTATTTCTTTGGATGCCAGAAGAGTAAACTTCTAGAGCACCATTTTTACCAAGTAAAATGTCGATGACCAAATTTACAAGAAAAACAGCGGAAATTTGTGGCATTGACTGACATTTTGCATGACCTGCAGGTCGTCGTTTTGGTGTATGCATGTGATCACTACCTTCCCTTTCTTTCAATTAGAATATACGCATACCTAGAGTGGCTAACCAGCATATACAAACATGGCCAGCTACAGTCGGTACAGTTTTCCTCTCCCATCCCAAAATATAAGGCATATTGACTTTTAATTTCTTATATTATGATGTTTGTAGCAATAAAATCATAACATGGATCAATGATATTAATTATTTATCAAAAAACAATAATTTAAGTTAGATTAATTGTATGTTAATTATTACAAGAATGCGCGTCTTATAACTTGGGACAAATTAAGTGAGTTGTATGTTTTACATGTTACTTTCAATGGGAACATAACTCTATTTGCGGTGTTGGAATTATATGTGTATGACACTATTATCTGCTGAAGTCTAAATCCTGATGTCACACGTGTGAGTGTACCTCAGTAGGATTTACAATATTCAAGAATTTATCCTTAGCCAGTGCTAAAAACTACACTAATTGATTTGTTGTCGCTAGAAATATTTTCGTAATAATTTAGTGTAAGCCATGAAAAATAATGGTCAAAATGACATTGATAAGACTAATTGAAATACAAAACATATATCAAGTAAAAAGGACTGGATATATAGATCCCATTAGTTTATGATGTTAACTTTGTAGCCATACTTTTGCTATATGTTGCTAAGGAGGTTTGATCAACTTAGCTTAATTTTGGTTTACTATCACATATTTGGCTTTAAAACCTTTATATATCTAGCATAATATTTTATCAAATTATGTTTAAGTCATAACAATATTTTTTTACTCATTCCATCCCTAAATATAAAACACAATTACCACTGACGCAAGAAAGATTAATATCGCATTCTCGTTTGGACCAACCCAATAAATATAATGCATGCACCAAATGGAAATAGAGATATTGAGGGTGGATGCTTTTAAAATAATGAATTTAGGAAGGGAGTGCTAGTTAATTATTTGCATGCATGCAAGCCTTGTATCATGAGAAAACATAAAAAAAAGTTGCACCTTATATTTCAGGATAGAGGAAGTAGCTACGGACTAAATTCATCACATAATATAGTTATTTATAGCACAGTGTATTGTCTCAAAATTAAGCTATTTTTTCACTTACCTCATTTCTCAACCAATCATAACATTCTCTATTTAATTTTTTCACCTATTTTCTCTTCTCAACCAATCACAATATTATTTTGATCATTTTCACTTACTTTCTTCATATTAGTGCCTAACTCAAAACTGCTTAGAACCCCTTTGAATCGCAGGATTGAAAAAAACGTAGGAATAAGAAAAATGTAAGATTTTGATAGGAAAAATAAGTGTAGGATTGCAAAACGCAGGAAAAATACGGGAATAACCGTTTGATTGAACCGCAGGAAAAACACAGGAATTGGATGAGAGAGATAGACTCAGAGGAAAGTTACCAAGAGGTTGAAGCTCTTGCTAAATTTCCTCCAATATCTCTATAGGAATGCCCATTACATAGGAATTTCAAAGAATTGGATATGATTCAATCCTTTTTTCAAAGGGCTTCATAGGAATATTTCTATAGGATTAAAATCCTCCAAAATTCCTATATTTTTCCTCCAATTCAAAGGGGCCCTATTAGATTTTGAGACGGAGGAAGTGCACAAATGTGGGCTTGTGGCATGCTGCACTTTGACATAAAAGTTTGACAAATGAGGTATCAACCAAACCGCCCCTTAATTTGCAACCAATCGCATTCAAAAATATATTGTCACTTCCCTTTGGCATTTAGCCATAAGGAGAACATGTTAGCACATAAAAAGTCGACGCTAATTTGTGTCCATGGAAATTACTGTGGTTGTGAGCATTCACTGATGAATAGGGACTGAGTTTGTTTACTCCCTCCGTCCAAAATCTAGGATTGGATGTATCCTAGGTTGAGTTTTCTCCTTTTTACGGAGGAAGTACGTATCTATGCAGAAGAAAATTAGTCATGAGTGTAAATGTGCACGTCCACACAATCTCCAAAAGGCGTGTGTGAACAAGATTAGTGACGAGTCATGAATTCTCGACGACTGTAGCTTGTCGTTAGAATTGTCGACGACTGTAACCGCTCCTAGAGTGACTGAAGAAATCCCCTTTCCCCTGGAAAAAAAGTATAAACAATTTATCTCTTGTTAAAAAAATTGTATATACTATGTCCCAAAATAAATGGATCTCATATATTAAACAAAAACTTTAGTACTTATTGAGGAAAAATATTAAAGTGTCCGAGAAAGTACTCCCTCCGTCCCACATCTCACAAATATCTCTTATATTTAGGGATAGAGGGAGTAGTGAAGTAAGAGGTATCTAAGAGATAAAACAATTTGGTTTGTGGACCGAGATTAGATAAATAGCTAGAAGTTAACTTATTTTGAAACATACTTTAAATCTAGAAATTAACTTATTTCAAAAGGGTAGGGTGGACATCCACACATGATCTCCCTATGAAACATTGGTCACAAATTTGCAGTAAAACTATACCAACGCCCAATAAAAATGTTATCCTAAAAGTAGTTTTCAAGACAAATACATGTATAAGGTTTTCTTGTATAAAATAATCGATCATATAACTACGGTATTATTATCGCATCTGCATGATAAATCTTATCTTCTCATTTTTTTTTGTTTTTTTTGTCTTATTTTAAGGTTTTCACCGCTAAAGCATGGATGTATTGTGTAGGGTATAAATTATTTTTAGTTGATTTATTTATTTTTGTGTGATAACTTATGAGGAGTGGATTCCATTAAAAACAAATTATGAGCAGTGGAGTAGATTAAGGCTCCCATCAGATGGCCTAATCAGTCAAACAAAAAGCCAAAATTTAAATTTTCAAACTTAATTTTAAGATTGATTTTAAGATATTTTTAACATAGTTTTCTTTTTCAGCATTGTCTTTCAAGTCACCAAGAACATATATATAAAAGTTTTATCTATAAATTTAATTTTATTACCTAATAAACTGTTTTAACTTATTAGGGAAAAACCAAACGATGGGGCCCTAAACTATCAGAAACACCAGAGCCTCAACCGTGCACGCGTACGCCGTCCGTCAGCATCGGTGACTGCCGACTCCCACGAAATTTCGCAGCTCAAATAAAATCCCCATTATTCCCTCTTCATCAGTCAAAAGTCATCGCCAGCGTAACGTACGTCTCTTTCTCTGACTAATCATCGATCTCTTGCCAGCGTTCCCTCTCTCTCTCTCTCTATCAGAATCTCTTCCAACTTCCGTGGACGTACGCCAAAACAAGAACCACACACAAACAAGAACCCTAACTTTGTTAAACTCTCCAAGTCAACAAACCAAACCTGCTTGATCCCAATAATGCACACTAATACACTATGATATATGCACGCGCAGATGCATCCGCGGCCGGATAAGCGCGCCACCGTTTCTCTCGTCTCCACGCGTTGAATCGGAAAGCCTCTAATTTAGCTACAAAAATTAAGTCGAAAATAAAGTTGTATAACTACCTAAAACCAGTTTCACCTCTATAGTTCAGAGTCTGGAATAAAGTTGTGGAACTACCTAAACCCAGCTCCACCTCTTATTTTATAAAAGCGCAAGCTCCACCCAGCTCCGCTCTTATTTTATATAGAGCTGAAACTGTTTGGCTCCAGCTATGCCAAACAGATCTGTATGGACATACAAAGCTTTTGCGTGTTTGATAAAAAAAAAACAGCGAGCCAGCAGCCAATGGCGATGGTCCACGGCGCCGGCCGCGGCAACGACAGGGAAGCAGAAAAAAATGGGTGGCCGATTGATAATCCGGGGGAGAATTTCTGAGTTTTGACTAATCTGATGCCGAGCCACGCATGCGTTTAACTCATTGATTCCTTAATCTAGAATGTAGGTTGATTAATTGTTGGAACGGATGGACGAGTGATACAGCTGCTGCCGTCTAGACGAAGCTGCTTAGTGATTACTGGAAGCATGATCAGGGCGTTGCGTTGCGTGGTCAGGATGCAACAGAGATTATCAGCTCGTGGTTTAACCTAGTAGTATAAGTGCAATTATTTCAGTCAAGATCGAGATATATCCGGACTTGATTTTCAGCTGCAACGACTGGAAAGGATTTTTCGGCTGTAACCAGAAGGAATTTGTCTGCAGCAAGCCAGCAACTAGGTTGTAGTTTCAGGCTTTACAGATCACATAACTTGGCCTTGACATAACTTCGGAAATTCAGCCAAACACAAAGGAGTTTCAGCAAAATACAGCCAAGTACCACATAGCAGTAACTTCCTTCTCCAGACTACCAGACTAGACAGACAGGAAGGTACCTAGTAGAGTGCAGATACGAGTTTTTACTAAACACAATATGCTAAGTAAAACCCATCATCCCAGACTGTTTGGGGAGGGGGTTTTCGCACTTGCACAACCACTAGAGACATCTAACACCCGCAAAAGTTACAGACAGTTCTTGCAAAAGACCCAACACTTGAGTTGTAGAACATGAGCTTCTATTCAACAGGATCAAACTTAACCCCTTCAGCAGTAGAACATGAACCGCTTAACATTCTCCTTGATTTCAGGAAGCGGCTTCGTCGATCGATCCGTTCGCGTCGTTACGGAGGAAGAAGAGCCCTGATCAGAATGCTCGTCCTCCATGTAGTAGCGTGCTCGGAAGGCTCCCAGATGCGCATAGTATGCTGGAGGAACTGTTCAGATAGGAGAGTAACAAAATTCAGTAAAAAAAAAAAAGAGGACCACAGAAAGAAAGATAACTGGTAAGAAAATCAGCTCTGATAGCTGAATAAATGAAAACCCGACAAGATAACGCATACCTATGGAGACTGCTCGGGTGCATCGGGCATAGCTGCAGGCAAGGGATCATCCAAGGAAAAATGGGTTACATCATGTCAGGATGGTAAAGAGTGGGGATGATGCATGCACTGTTCACCGTAAGGTAAAACGGCAGAGCAAACTTACGTGTAGCTAAGATTGTAGGTTAGGGTTTGCAGCGTATCAGCCTTGAACCCATTTTCATCTAAAAGAACATGATAATGTGTTGGACGGCTCGTCCCCTGTCCAAATACAAAAGAAGAAACTATTAACACTGGAGGTAAAATTATTTCAATTTCATTGCAAAGTGAAATTGTGATTTGTTCTACCAATCATTACCTTGATACCAGAATGGCTACAGAGGTAAAAGTCAAACTCACTCGGATGGCAGATCATTGTGTCAACAACAGTTCCTAAGAGAAAAAATGCACTTGATGATTTAATATTTCTTTTTTTAAAAAAACTTCATACTTAATACAATGTGAATATTAATATTGCATAACAAAGTTACTTACCAGGAAGGATATTTCCGCTTCTATCCATCATATCTCGACGATTTTCTGGAAATAGGCGGGTGTGATGCCTTTTCTGGACAACAACAAATGTAACTGGAGGAAGGTAGCCCTCCTGCAAACTAGCACATGCCTACGAATACAAGCAAAAACAACATTGTATTATCGGCAGCATGAGATGGAGAAACAACTATATAGGGATAAATAGGTAAGCGGAACAAAAAGGACTTTGCCTGAGATACCTTGCGAATTGCATCCATTTCATAAAGCAACACTTGGCTAAACTGTCCCTCGCTGATACCATCTCTGCATATTGAAGAAACCAGAATTAAGCACAGGCAAAAAAATGCTTTTTTTAAAAAAATAAACTCTTCACGGACCGATAAAATATAATCCGGCTAGGTTTCTGTCCAGTTTCTTGGTAGAAAGACCTGAGCAACTCCCTGCAATATATACATGTTAATACAGCGAAAAGAGAGATATTCAGACATTTATTTCTCTAGAATAACAATTACCTAATCATTCCACCTCTAATAATTCCCTTCAATGGATCTTTCACTTCTGTGTAAAGATTAGATATGATTTCTTCCCTATGACTTTGTGTAGATACCAAGCATTTGTACTTTGTAACTTCTGGCCAATCCATGGATGCAACAACCTACAATCATTGAGAATAGAAACTTTCATTCAAGACCACACATACAAGGTGCTAAAAAGGATAATTTTTTTTCTAATAACAAGTCACACAAAAGTAGAAGTGTAGAATGTAAATGTTTGCACCCTAAAGGCCTAAACACAAGCCAGGCTTGTTGTAGAACTAACGCACAGTAACTACTTTAGTTTATCCATTCTTCGTTTAATATGCAAAAGTTAGCACAATGCTAAAAGTCCACTATCCACCAAAAAAAAGACTGAAACAGAAAAAAAAACAAATATAAAAAATAATCAAAGGCTCAAAAAGAAAAAAAAATACTATAGGGCTAAATAAGTTCCAGAATCATCATAATTCTGTTAGACATTGATCTACCTTAATCAGAAAAATCAAACAACACAGGTTGAGCAAAATGTAAAACTGTGATATGGTGAGTTGGGGAGAGTACACAGACCGCTGCAATGGATGGAGAAGCATCCTCCCCAGGAGATGGATGTGTAACATCCGCTCCAAACACTATCGTAGGACGATCTGTCAGAATTGGTATTTTCTTGTGCAACGCATCTTCAAGTACTGTATTTCGCCCCCCGACCTAATTGCAAAATAAAAATGATATTAATGTCTTTTGAACTGCTTGTAGAGTGGTTAGTCATACCATACAATTAAACTTCATCCTACCTTAACATTCATTTTTAGGGCCAGATTTTCAAGATACTGTTTCCCACCTTTCTGAAGACTCTTGGGTGCACAGCATTGAGTTATCACACCAACCTCTGTTTCACAAATTCGTTTTATCCTTCCTACATATGTAATGAGTATCAGAAACTTAAATTCAAATTGAATCACCTGCATGAGAATGCATCAAGAGCTTACCATAAGAACCACTAATTTCAGTCAATATTACAATTAATAACTGAAGTTGCTGCCCTGTCAGGTCTTGCTGGTCAAGCTTTTCTGAAGATTGCCTATGGATATTTCTGATTGCACCCTCGATGTTGCGTTGCTGTCCTTGTATGATATCCACACATGGTCTCGTATTCATTTGCTACAAACAGAAATGGATAAAGTCAACCAGTGAATATTTTAGTGACAAAAGTATACTTACAAAAATAAATTTACGGATTTCTTTAAGGAGTAATTTACCATGCCAATATTATTGCACATGCCAACCAGGTCTTCACAAAACATCCTAATGTCATTTACATGCATCCGAGAAGCAAAAGATAGGCAGGTCCAATGGTTGATACATCCTCCATTTACCATCCTCTGAAAAATCTCAGGAAAAATGTCAAGACGGTTCGCCACAAAGAGAAGATATCAAACCATCAATACAAATAACCTGAAAAATGTGCTTTTCATTTCAATGTGTCATAGCTTTTACACATTTGCTTCATTTATAAACAATGTAGTCAAACATTATTATAGGCTTATAGCTACCACAAAAAATGAGTGTGCCCTAACAACATAAGCATCGCTCATTCACATGCAACTGTCAAAACAGCAGACGATATGACGGGGTGTTTAGAAATACAATAAGAAAAACCTTGTGTAATAATGGTATTTTCTGAGTTAAGTATGCAATAGTACATTGCAAATAAAATGGTGCAGACGGTGAGACAGAGCATACCTTGTTAATCATGTTCCATTGTCCAACGGAAGGATTACATACTTTTTCTCTTCCAGAGTCATGATATTTAAGCTAATTATAAGAGGAAAATTAAGGGGTTAACTGAACATACGAGACTGAAATGAAGCACACAATTTTAATAAAAAAATAAGTACATAATTAAATAAAACAATAAATAAAAGATGGTTATATACCCTAGGGGTAGGCAGTACACGGGCATCAACCACGGCAAGTTGGTTAGCGACTTTGATGCCAAATTCTTTTGCACAATCATCATTGCCATAAGAGTTCGTATTAACAATCTGAGAATACAAGTAAAATGTTTTTATCTTCAAATCAAACAAAAAAAAATAAACATGAAAGAACATAAAACAAAACTATACGAGGAGACTACACCTACACCAAAGAAAACATGGAGCAAAATTCACCTCTATGATACTGCTCTCCCTTTGTGCGGGTCGTTCACATGTCATCCTTAGAATGTTTGTAACTTGATGCTCATTTAGCTTCTTCGAATACCGTTGTCCTTCAAGTATACTGCAGACCTGAAGAAAAAACATGCTAATAGATTTATATCTACTCTGTAGCAACTCTGTGAAGATGAACAACGAAAGGAAAAGGAAACCTCCATAGGCAAATATTTTGGTCTGCTATCACTGCCAGCTTGAAGGCATGGCCAATTAACATGTTTTAAGGAGTAATTGTACTGTTTCTTAAAGTATTGGACGACTGATATCCTGTTTCCATCTAGATCAAACCTGTCAAATAAGAAAATCAGAAAATTACTTGTAACATATTGTACTGCAATTACTGTCTTAATGGCATGGTGTGATTCAAGTTTATAAAATGTAATGCTGACAGAAAATCAGAAATGGGTCACAAAAGAAAAAAGGTACATCAATTCATTCATTGGAGCTGAGGGTATTCCAGTGATCTTGTAACGTATGGATTTCTCTTTCCAGTGAGTTGCCACAATTTGGACTCCTTTTAGGGCCTTTTTCAGCTATGATGCAGAAGAACAAAACAAAAGACAGCAATAACTAATTCAGGAAACATAGAACGAAAAAATAGAGATGAGATGAAATATGGCAATAAGATTCAAACTTTAATACGATCTTGATCAGACAAGCGCCTTGAAACATCTCGGATGTTCAAATACTGAACTGCAAAGTCCATCACTGGCTGGGCCTTGTAAAATGCTGTTGCAGAAATATCTAAAAGGAAAATTCACATCAATATCCAACACAGAACGTAACTGACTCTGTATTGTGAAATAAAATTAACCGACTCCTGTATCAATTGATGGATTGACCGTTCCATCAAATGTTGAGTATCTCGACACAAACATTTCTATACTACTAAAATACTTTGAGGTAAATCCATACCGATATTTAGCGACAGTCCCATCTGCGTGGGGCGCAGACTTTGGTAATACCCCCTCCAACACTCTGTACCACTACCAATCTCGCCACCATGCCCAAATGATTGGGAGAAAAATGACCTTGAGATAGATACATACCTGTCACAAGTAAAATTTACCTAGTTAAAAATATTCATGTCGATCAAGATTCTGGATTAACAGGACGCATGCACATATGGAATCATAAGGCATAGAAGTTGATGTAATGAACTAATTGTACTTCATATCATGGAAACATCAAATATCAAAGAATTACTGAGGTAGGGCATTCCCTAAGAGCAATGTCAAGAGCTTGAATAGTGTCCTGTGGCAACTCCCTCTGCCTTCCAACCAAAAACTGCTTAAGGCTGTACAGATCTGTTTTGGAGGCTTGCTTTATGGTCACCTTGTATTCCTCCTCCCTAAAACACAATAACAAATATTTTATAAAGTCGTCATATTAATAAAAAAACAGTTATGAGAAAAGGAGAAGGCTTCAAGTGTTTAACCATACCGTTGGTTACCCCTCAAAGGATTAATGTGCTTGACAACAAAGTCTTTGGTTTTGAAAGGTAGTGGACCTGCAGTATATATGCTCTTTCTTCCATCATAGACAGGTAACCTACCATCCAAGAATTGTTTGTGCAACGCAACAAGTTTGTTGATTATTGATCTATTTCTCTCACGATAAGTTGATTCTGGAGTGATCACCACCTGTACCAACAAAACATGTTGCACTTAATCTTAAGATCTTTATGATGGAAATAGTTAAACAAATTCACTTGAATGATACTAAAACCAACCACATCACGAGTGGTGAGGGAAAGAAATGAAGCTGAAAGGAGCATTCGCTGATGATTGATTAACCAAAGAATATATATCATCATTATGTATTTTTTTCTCACGGTGTTCCTAGTTTGGAAAGTCCATTGCACATCTATATATGGTTGATCATTTATTTTACACCATTTCAAAAGCATGGCTAAATGCATGCATGCCACTAGCAACTCAATGGTAACAAATATAGAAGTTCAAATTAAATCGTTAAGAGTTAATGTTTAACTTTTAATAACATATTTAACTGGCCATGTACATCCATGTGGGATGTAGAGACCGGATTGATATCCATTATCTGAAAAACAACATATAGTGCTAAATTTGTGGAATTTACACTTTTCCTCTTTCAGCAAGAAGACCAAAGCAGTCATACAAATTTTTCATTAAACCGAGGGGTGTTTACATTGTAAATGAGCATTTTAAATAAATTTATCCAATTCAACAATTTCTCTAGTGAAATGTCATATTTGACATGAGAGTATTATTACTCAGGAAAATGCTAGAATACATTTATTAATGGTCCTTAAAACATATCTTATTCAGCTATTAGAAATTTGAGATGTAAAATTAATGTGCTATATCTATTTTTAATACATTCCAGATTTTACACTTATATTTTGATTTTTCTTTTTTGGGAAACTTTCAAACTTGACTTGAATTTCAGGACGAAGTTGATGTGACATGTAGACTCGTTATAATGTGCTATAGAAGCCTATACCGCTTCCACTTTACCAGTATATATAAACCCCTAATATCTTGGATGCATTTAAGGTTAGCAAGTTAAATGCATAGGTGTTTTCCCTTTCTTAAGAGGGGAAAGCACTTGAGTGGGGTTAGAGCAAGATCTTGTGCATTCCTGTTCAAATAACTTTGGTACTAGGGTGCAAATGTCAGTTGATTAGAACAAACTTCTTTTTAATTGGAAACTCAAATTTCTAGCCATTGGATCTAGATCCAATCTCTTTTTCTCTCTGCTCCCAATCCATAACTCTCCATGCTCCCCTTCCCCAAACCCATCTATAGTTAAACTCTCCATGCTCCACTTCCCCAAACGCTAGTTGCCAAACCTCTCCATTCCACGGCCGCAAAATTTTAAGGGACTATCTATAGATCTGTTAACAGAAAATTCCACATCCCATCTTTCAAATTTTGGACCATTGGATGTGCTTTAAAATTCGTGCAAAGGCATTAACCCTAGCTCTCCTCCCGTTCCCCTCCCATCGTGCGTCCGCACCCCTCCCATCGCTACTCCTCCGCTCGATCCCCGCTGCAACCGCCCCACCACGCCGCTGCCCGCCTCACCGGCTGGCCGGAGGGCGTCAACGGCGCCGGCGAGACCCCCTCCCCCTCCCCCCAATGATGCATGCCCACCGCCCTCCTCCAGCCCCGCGGCTTCCGGCGCCGCCGCCGGCGCCTCGCCACCCGCTCCACCGCCCACCGCCGGGCTGCCGCCTCCCCCGGCCAACCCTCTAAGCCGGCGAACTCCTCTTCCCTCTCCCTCTCCCACCCCACCCCGGGACCCTAACCCGTAGGGTCCTCTATCGGAGTCTAGGGTGTCGTCGGCGCCGAAGAAGGAGAAGGTCGCCGGAGTTGGAGAAGAAGGCCTGGAGCACGAATCTCGGAGCTCATCCGGTAGCGCAAAATCTGCAAGATTTGGGGATACAATTTCTATCGGCAGGAGGTTAGCAATTCCGAAATTTTAACCCGGTGGGGCTGCCTCCTCGCCGTCACCCCCTCGCCGGAGAAGAATAGGCTCGCCGGAGCACGACGATCCTCCGAGAAAATCCCAACAGCGAGTACAAAAAATGAGTACTAGGAGAATGGAATTAGTTTTCGAGTACTAGTAGACTAGTGCTAGATTAGCGATCACAAATTCACAATAGATTACGAAACGAGCTAGCATGCAGAGACAGATGAGATATGAGATGAGATTGGATGAGAAAACGTACGTCGTAGTGGTAGATGTCCTTGTCCGCGACTTGCACCAGGAAATGGTTGGCGCGGACGCGGCACCGCCTCCCGATCGTGCCGACGTCCGGACGCGCCGGGAAGGTCACCGCCTTGCTCGACGACGGCGGCAGCGTCGCGGGCGGGGGCGCGGGCGCCGGTGCGGCGACCTGAGATGGCTCTCTCTTGACATTGTCCGTGCCCTGCGCCGCCGCCAACGACGAACCCTGGCCTGCTGGCGGCGCTCCACCCGACACAACCATCTTCCCCTTCATCTCGCCGCACAGAGCCCCCACCGCAACCGCCGGCGCAGGCGCCGGCACTCCGACGCCGCCGCGCCCGCCGCCTACGGGTCGACGCGCCGCCGCATTGGGCTGCACCTGCACGCCGCCTCGTCCGCCGCCGCCAGATGGCGGGGCCGGGGCGTGGAATGGCTGCTGCTGCTGCCGCCCAGCCCCGGCGCCCACAGCGACGCCGCCACGGCCGCGCGGCGCGTCGTGACGGCCTCCGCGCTCACCCGCCCCTCGACCACCGCCTTGCCGCTCGCCGACGACGCCGAGATCGCCCCTACCCTGGCCACCCCTCCCGCCACCTCCACCTCCACCTCCGCCTCCTTCCCGCCCACCACCGCCGCCTCGCCCACCGCGGCGGCCTCCGCCGCCGCCGCCGCGCGAAGACATGATGATTGAGGAGGAGGAGGGGGGGGGGGGGTAAAGGCGAAGCGGAGACGAGGGAGACGTGGGGGGAGGGGTTAGCGGAGGAGGCGGCGTTTATATAGAAGAAGAAGAAGCGAATGGATCGTGTGGGATACAAAGCGTCTCTCGAATCTCGATGTACTCCAAACCAAACCAACCCCACGAGGCACGTGGATCGGGTGGTGTGGCCGTGTGGGTGGGGTGACAAGTGGAGTGGGGCCCTCACGTCAGCAGCGGGCGGGGCGCGGCGCGGCGCGGCGCAGGGGAGGATGCGATTGCGAGCGCAGCAGCGATCTTGGCAAAGAGATCTCCTACTCTGTCGCTGCGTGTGACTTGGCGACGCGACGATCCGTGTCTTGCTCCTCCTGGGAACTTGCTGGGAATGCGGATGGTGACGGGCGATGGACGTGGGAGAGACCCGCAGTCATCATGGTACATTGGTATACTCCTTTAGGGTGTGTTCGCAGCGTGAACAGTTAAACACGGAAAACGGAGCGATACATTAGTACGTGATTAATTAAGTATTTACTAATTTTTTTAAAAAAAGATTAATTTATTCTTTTTAAACAACTTTTGTATATAAAATTTCTAAAAAAAACATAGGCTCTGTTCGTTTGCCTGGTTAGGAATCTTTTAAATTCTGCACTCGAGTATACTACTAGTACACTCGATACCCTGCAACTGTAACAGCGCTGGCAGGGGGAGAGGATTTTTTTATATTGGATGGATATCCCTTGTTTTTTACTAACGGTATTAAAAAGGTCATTATTTTTTAAAAAAATTGTAACATACTTCATCCTTTTTCAATATATAACACCGTTAACTTGTTAAGATATGTTGGACTATTTATTTTATTAAAAATATTGTGTAATTATCATTTATTTTAGTGTGACTTGATTTATCATCAAATATTCTTTAAGCATGACTTAAACTTTTTTATATTTAAAAAAAAATGAGTAAGACGTTATATATTAAAAAAAAACAGAGGTAGTAGATCATTACTAGTTTATTATTAGCAATGCAAGTTTAAATTCGCGTATATTGCAATCAAATTTATTATTTTATTTCTTCTTATATAAGTTGAATTTGAATACACATGTTTATAGAGTGCCATATTACTTAATTATTATATTACTAATTTATTTTTTAAACAATAATCATTTTTAAGTAGCAGGTAAAAACACCCTTTCAAGAGATGAATAGACTTTCCTACATCATACCGCTACTATGGCATGCGGGCGGGCATGCCCATCTCTCGTATCTCATGCCACGTTTTCAATTTTGAGATACGAGAGATGGGGAATTAAATTTGAAAATATATCGTTCATCCAATTTTTTCTTAGGAATATTCGGATGCAAAAATTTTTATGAAAATTTACTGTCGATCTCGCACAATCGTTGCGCGAGGGTATGACGTTGTGGGCGGTATCGTACGGTGAAAGTATGAGTCTCATAGAATGGAAGAGCGAGATCGAAGGGTCTCGCGGAATCAAACAGCACGCTGTCCAACGGCTCCATTTGATTAGTGATTAATTACTCAATTAACAATTAACTACTAATAATTAGTGATTAATTATCATGATTAATGATTAATTAATATCACTAATCATGATAATTAATCGCTAATTAAATCGACATGACATCGGTACCGCTCGTTGCTTCAGCGAGAATGAACGGTCTCTCTCTTCAATTCCGCGCGGCGCGAGACCGCACAGTTTCGCTCTTTCACCATGCGATACCGTCCGCGACATCATTTTCGCGCAACGGTCGTGCGAGACCAACAGTATATTTCTGCAAAAAATTTTGCATCCTGAATATTCCTGAGAAAAATTGAATGAACAGTATATTTTCAAATTTAATTCGAGAGATGGGCATGCCCGCCCGCATATGCAGGGTTTTCAATTTCAAATTTGGATTTTATGCCTAGAGTGACCGAAATTATCGAAATTTCTGGCCGAAATTATTTGAAAATTTGAATGATTTTGAATCAAATTTGACCAAATTCACAAAAAATTGCAAAAAACCAAAAATTTCGGGCGAGATTTGAGCATGCCGGTGGGGGACGAAATTACCAAAATTTCGGAAATTTCAATCCCTTCATATAGGAAGATCGCAGCAAATCGATATACGTTGGTAACTGACCCCGCCCCACCGGCCAGCCGCCGCCGACCCGTGTGTGGATGGTTGCACCGATTAATTAGCCACGGCAATGGCACTTCAATTTCCCATGGCGTGGCAAGAACCTATGCGGCGGAGAGCTCAGTTACTCTGGTTGATGGTGCATGTGGCAAGAACCTACGCGGCGGAGAGCTCAGTTACTCTGATCGATGGTGCTCTGACTTAGAGTGTGATCGGTTGAGTTGTGGCTTTTTGAAAAGTAGCTGTGGAATATGGGCTGTGGCTTTTGAAAAAGCTCATTTGGTTCAACAGCTGTGGCTTTTTGACATAACTAGTCCCAATGACAAGCGGGCCCCATATGTCATACACATGTTGAAAAAAAGAGAGGGAGAGATGGTGATGGCCGGCGGCGGGGAGGCAGCTCGGCGAGGAGGAGTGGCGGTTGCGGTTCGGCAAGGAGGACACGCGGCGGGGAGGAGCGGCGGCGGTGGGGAGGCAGACGCGCGGCGGCGGCGGCGGGGAGGCATATCGGCGATGAGGAGCGGTTCGGCGAGTAGGAGGAGGCGCAGTGGGGAGGAACAGCGGCGAGGAGGTGCGCCGCCGTCGGCCACCTCACCTCCTTTGTCTCCCGCCTCCACGGCCGACGGGCGAAGGGGCGCCGGCGCCGGGAGGAGGAGGAGCAGTAGCGGCGGTGGCTCCGTGAAGGAGAGGTGGCGGCGGCGGCTTGGCGAGGAGGAGGAGGAGCGGCGCACGGTGGGAAGGGACGGGAGAAAAAAAAGAACGAAATGGTATGTATCATAACCAATAGCAGGTGGGTAAATATTTGACTAAAAGCAACTGAAAGTAAGGGGTGGAGGTGCTTTCAGTTTGTACTGAGCAAAAGCAGCTTTTGGGTAAAAGCAGCTATGGCTTTTGAGCCCTTTGGTTAGCTTTTGGCTTTTGCAACGCAGGGTCAAAAGCCCAACCAAACGTACCCTTAGTTCATGTGTTCGTTGAAATGTGTCTTAGAGGAGAGTTACATTTGTAGTACTCCTATTTCAAATGCTCAGGGGTGTTCATTTACGGTTTATCAAGTGACGACGATTTTCGCTTCGATCTAAAGCCATTTCCAGTGGCAAAAGTTCCAAAGCTAACTTTAATTTGGCCTGTATTGTGTAATTAATACACACTCGTATCAAAATTAGATCATCTTTGTCTCCTTCCGTTTATCCCCAAATAACCATTACATTGGAGCTTGTGAAAGCGGAAAAGAAAAACATTGATTGGAAGTAAGTAAACTGAAAAACAATTTCAGTGAGAGATGAGATTTTTATAAGATAGAGGTATTCTAGTCTTTTCTTATTTTGAAAAAAAGTGAGTAGATCGCACAAACAATATATGTGAAGCCGGCATAACAACAGCAGCCGGTTAACTTCAGATTGTGTCCAACATGATTCCCATATTCTAGTACTATGAAGTACTACTACTTAGCTTAGCCCAGACTGTTGTGACTTTAACATATTCACAACACACAAGTCGATCTGCAAGACACCGAGTCTGATTTCACAACCACACAAAAGCACGGACAGACGCTTAACTTGGTTCTTGGCAAAAGATGATCCACCTAGCAAGCTAGCTACTTCCTCCATTTTATATTATAAGATTTTCTAGTATTGTCTATATTCACATAAATATTAATGAATTTAGACATATATGTCTAGATTTTACATATTTACATATGTTTAGATTTATTAATATCTATATGAATGTCGGCAATGGTAGAAAGTCTTATAACCTGAAACGGAGGGACTAGTTACTTCAGCAGTAAAACATGAACTGCTTCACATTCTCCTTAATCTCTGGCAGCGGCTTCACCGGCACACCACGGTCGTTCCGCCGAGAACCGCCGGCTGCAGAAGCAGAAGACGATCCGTGGTCGGGGAGTGATCCCTCCTCCAGGTAGTGCCGCGCTCTGGAAGCCGCCAGGTGCGCATAGTACACCGGAGGAACTGCTCGATTTAATTAATTTCACAGACAGATCAAGCAAACAATCAACCAACTATAGCAATTATCTGAAAAATAATGGAATGGGATCACGCAGAATACAGCTAACAGTGATGATCGATAAGATATGGAACTTCTTCTTCAGAGTTCAGGCTGTAGTGTACTAAAAGAAGTTATGAACTTATTAGGCTTACCTATGGAGACTGATCGCGTGCAGCGTGCATATCTGCAAGCCAGAAGATCAGGATGTTAATTAGTACTCCCTCCGTATTTTAATATATGACGCTGTTGACTTTTCGACCAACGATTGACCATTCGTTTTATTTAATTTTTTTATGTAGATATGAAAATATTTATATTATGCTTAAAGAACATTTGATGATGAATCAAGTCACGATAAAATGAATGATAATTACATAAATTTTTTGAATAAAACGAATGGTCAAACATTAGATAAAAAGTCAACAGTGTCATATATTAAAATATGGAGGTAGTACTCTACTACGGAATTTCATGGAGCTGATGAAAAAGGGGTTAGAAGTGGTAAAACAGTAACAAGGGTATAGTACTGTAGTAGCAGAAAAAACACGGAGAAATGCTTACGTGTAGCACAAATGGTAAGTCAATGTTTGCAATGCATCGGCGCTGAAATTGTTCTCGTCGAATAGAACATAGTAATGCGTGGGGTGGCTTGTTCCCTGTTAGAAATGAAAAATTATTCCATTACAAGTTAGAAGAGGGCAGTAGATCACAATGCAGGAACTAGACCAAGATGATGTTCTCAATCTCCTTAACACGTTTCTGTAGATTTTTTTTTTGCCGGGTCGGCCAAAGGATAGCCGATCAATTTCATTAAAATTTGGGGGGGGGGGGGGAAATACAGTAAAATGTTACAATGACATTACAATACCGCGGTAGCCAGAGAAAGACCTAGCCAACCAAGAACGAGAAAAGAAAGCAGGGCTAAACCACCCGCAGACAGTCATGGCGATTACTCGTGAAATTGGGAGAAAATTCCAGCCACCCTCCATGTTTCTGTAGATGTATTCGTGAGTTCCTAACCTATCCCACATATATGGACCTGGAATTTAGTTCAATTTCCAGGACCATCCCCAGGGATTGGCTGGGATTTGGGCCTTGCTAATCAAAGCCTAACTAAATGAGAAAATGGCATGCTACTTCACTGAGTAACTGCTTACCTGAATGCCAGAATGGCTACAAAGGTAAAAGTCAAATTCACTGGGATGGCATATCTTAGTGTCAACAACAGTTCCTAAGAAGAAAAAAGTTATTACTATTTGAGATAATACAAAATTTTGCATCAGGCTAATTGCTGCCTGGAAAGTTAATTCTTACCAGGTAAGATGTTTCTGCTTCGATCCATCTGATCCCTCGCGTGATGATCTTCAGGAAAAAGACGGGTGTGATGCCTCTTTTGCACCACAACAAAGGTAACTGGAGGGAGGTAGCCCTCCTCTATGCTAGCACAAGCCTGCAGGCAGAAGCATACATAGACTAAGAAGATCACAAAACAACACAAATGCAAACTGCAAGCACACAAAACATAGAAACATGAGAGATAATGAGGCTGAAAAGGACCTTCCGAATTGCATCCATTTCACTAAGCAGAACTTGGCTAAACTGGCCTTCACTAACACCGTCTCTGCATGCCAAGAAAATTGAGTTCTCGTAGCAGATAAAAAAGGAGAATTAGAATAACATAGCACATATTATTTGCTTCACAAACCGATAAAATATTATCCTTCCAGGTTTGTAGCTGCCATTTGCTTTACGGAAAGACTCTATCAACTCTCTGAAACAACAAAGTTTTTTAATGAAAACATGCGCGAGCAAGGTTATTGCAGCAAAAGAATAATTAAATTAGACACTGTCCATGCCAAAAGTACCTGATCATTCCACCATAAACAAGTCTGTTCTGTGAATCTTTCACCTCTGTGAAGAGATCAGCTATGATCTCTTCCCTATGGCTTTGCGAAGAAACCGAGCATTTGTATTTTGACACTTCTGGCCAATCCATCGATGCAACAACCTGCTGACAGTATTAACATAACTTGAAACATGAAGCATATTATGATAAGGAATCGTACGAGCAAGATAACTAGTAAGAGAGTACAGATTTCTCGTAAAGGAGTGAAATCACTCATTGCTAGTATCTGTGAATTTTAAAAGAGGACAATACTGAAAGCAAGATATAGTAGCTACACCAACACAAAAGAAGCATTCAATTTAAATCGAGATCTTTTACGGTGTTTGCATTCCAAAATAGGGAAAAATCCAATGCTCCTCAATGCCAGATACCATGTAAAAAGTATTTGAGTATTGGTTAGGTAAGTATCAAGGGTAAAATAATAAATTTGCTAGTAGAGAGAAAAAGTATAATTGTCTCTAAATTTAAATCGGTACCGTGTAGGTTCCAATTAAGTCGTTTGCCTATTAATGGCCTATAGGTTCTCGTTTGCGTGGTTTTCTCTAGATTTACATTGTGTTCTTCAATGTTCTTGTTTGCGTGCACGTGCTTTCTTCTAGATTTATATTTTGTTCCAAATAACACGTTTAACGTTTATTGGCACAAAAGTTCTGGTTTGTGCGGTTTTATCTTTTTATGTTTTGTTCTCCTCAACCATGTTGGCGCTTCTCTCTCTGTTTAATTCTGATGAACGAGTTCTAACCCAAGAATAAGAACGGGACAGATGGGGAAGAAGAAAAAAAGATCCAATTTTAGAGCTTTTACGGTGTTTGCGAGATACTTAGAAGTATTGAGAGGTGGAGTAATATAAGCCGTTGATCAAGAGAGGGGCAAGGTATGGAAAAAGAATTTTGTAATCAATGGCAGTGAAGTAATTAGTTCAATATGAACAACGTAAATCGGGCATTAATTTAGTTATTGAATAGATCTCACGAAAAAAGATCAGATTGGATCTTTTTTTTCTTCTTCCCCATCGGTCCTATTCTTATTCTTGGGTTAGAACTTGTTCATCAAAATTAAACAGAGCGAGAAGCGCCCACATGGTTGAGGATTCAATATGAGATCGGGTAAGATCTACTTTACATAGTTGATTAGTTATGTATGCAGTTCACATATTCCATCGTTTATCATGTTCAAATGGAAGCAAGCATGATGAATATTTTATCTACAGTTCATGTTTTCGAGGGATATATCGATAAAATATTTAACTTAAATTGATTACCTTCGGTGATATTTTAACCGGTCAGGTTCTTGAAACACATTAAAAATCTCTTCTTGAAACAAAATATAAATCTCTAAAAGAATTAAATGAATTAGTTTTGCCATGTTCTTTGGAATAAAACATAAAAAGATAAAACCGCGCAAACCAGAACTTTTGCCCCAATAAACGTGTTATTTGGAATAAAATATAAATCTAGAAGAAAACACGTGCACGCAAACAAGAACATTGAAGAACACAATGTAAATCTAGAGAAAACCACGCAAAAGTTAACCTATAGGCCATTAATAGGCAAACGACTTAATTGGTACCTACACGGTACCTATTTAAATTGAGAGACAATTATACCTTGTTCTCTCTACTAGCAAATTTATTATTTTACCCTTGATACCTAAGTACCTAACCAATACTTAAATACTTTTTACATGGTACCTGTCATTAAGGAGCATTGGATTTTTACCTATCTTGAAATGCAAACACCATAAAAAATCTCGATTTTGCTCCGGTCCAGCAAAAAGTATCTCGAGGTACCGCCGTACCGGTGCCTCACGGTACCAAATCGTCCAGTACCTCGAGATACTTTTTCTCGACCGGAGCAAATCTCTTCAATTTATATTCCCCAGCCCGCAATTGACGTATAACATAAACACTTCTGTTTATAATTCTGTCACATACAATCACCGAAGTCATTGGCTATATCTTTTACACTGAGGCACATTTAAAAACTAAATGGAATTAACTTACATCGCCATGAAAACAAGTAGAGATCAAGAAAATACTAACCGCAGCAATTGATGGAGATGAATCCTCCCCGGCAGGTGGATGGGTCACGTCAGCTCCAAAGATCATTGTAGGCATATCTGTTAACAGAGGAATTCTCCTATGCAAAGCATCTTCCAGTACTGTATTTCGTCCACCAACCTATGTTCAAATTGTTAGTGGAGTGAGCTACTCTCAAATAATAGCCAAATTGTTCGTAAAGCTAAAGAGACAGTGCCCACGTAATCCATGTACTGTCAAAGTAGTATATCCTACCTTAACATTGATTTTAAGTGCCAGGTTTCGGAGATATTGTGTTGGCGGACATTCTGAACATTCCTAGCTAAACAGCACTGAGTTATCACACCAAGTTCAGTTTCACAAAGCCGCTTTATCCTTCCTGCAGATATTACAGATGTGAGACAACAGATGGTTAGCAAAAACACTGCCAAAAAGAAAAGGTATACCTGAAAAATAATTATCATCAATTTGAGAAGTAATTTATGTGCTTACCATAAAAGACAGTTGCATTTGCATCAGGTAGTACTATTACCAGTAACTCAAGTTGTTGCCCGATCACACCTTGTTGAGAAAGAAATTCTGCAGATTGTCGATGTATATCTCTGACAGCAGCATCTAAGTGATCTTGGCGTTCTTGCCTAATACGGACACATGGTTCCCCGGTAATTTGCTATGGAAAGGAGGATTATACAATTAAACAAACGTATACATGCCCGAAAGAGGACCATATAGAAAGATAAAATCTTTACCATGCCAATGCTATTGCACACACGAACCAACTCCTTGCAAAACGTCCTAACTTCAGCCAGACGTACGCAGGAAGCAAAAGTCAAGCATGCCCAGTAATTGATGGATCCACCATTGAGCATCCTCTGAAATATCCACAAACAAAAGAGAATAATTGTTCTCATATCCATTCAAGCAACTTACAGTAGGTTAAAATAATATGATTTATATAAACAAAAATATAGAAATATTTTTAAAAAATATATAACACTGTTAATTTTTCCAGAAAACAAGAATTGATCACAGAAGAAGTGGAAACATTACCATGTTAACCTTTAATCACTAGTACATACAAGTAATTAGATTTGTCACATGAAAAGTAGAATTATCATAAAAATACTTCTCATTGTATTTTTTTTATTAAGAAACATGCGAGATCATATAATTTAGAAAGATAATGGACAGGATTGTGTGTGAAACACATCATCAATGTTCAAAACAGAAGGTATATCACATTATCCTCTCCCAAAATTGAAAATAGATGTGCAATTACATTCTTCTGGGAAAACATAAATAATTGAAATTTACCACAATTTGACAGTCTAGAATATAGCTCAAAATGAAAAGAATATACCTTGTTATTCATGTTCCACTGACCAATGGAAGGATTACATACTTTCTCTTGTCCAGAGTCATGGTACTTAAGCTAAAAGATAGAAATAGGAAATCCAATGCATAAACAAACGATAATGATATAATTTACCCAAAATAAATATATTTACCATTGGAGCAGGGAGTACACGAGCATCGACTAAGGCAAGTTGGTTTGTCACCCCGATGCCAAATTCTCTGGCATGATAATCATTGCCATAGTTGTTTTCATTAGCAATCTGTGGAAATAGAAATGGTAGTATATTGTAACCCAAAAAGAATAAACAATCTAATACAAGGAGAAAAGAATATTATGAATGCCAAAGGAAAATACAGGTGAAATTGACAAGGTTAGGCGTGGATTCCTCTGGGCCGGGAAGGCCACCGCGCATGGAGGAAGCTGTATGGTCGCCTGGAGTCGTGTTTGTGCGCCAAAGGAGTTTGGCGGCCTGGGAGTGCCCGACCTAGAGAGGATGGGCATTGCACTGAGATTGCGCTGGTCCTGGCTTCAACGCACGTGTTTGGACGAACCGTGGCAAGGACTGAACATTCCTTCATCTCAGAAGGAGTGCACCTTTGTGTCGGCTTATACCATCTGCACGGTGGGCAATGGAGTTATGGAGCATCCATTTTGTTCTAGGAGGACAACTGGCTCGGAGGGTCCGCTCTTCGTTTCTCCGCACCGTCCCTATACGCCTGTGTTCCGGCGCGCATCAAGCGCAGGAGAATGGTCGCTGAAGCTCTCCTTGGTCGCAGGTGGATCAGAGACATCACGGGAGCCCTCGGGGTGAATGCTTTTCTCGAATACCTTCGTCTCTAGTCCACTCTCTCGCGACAGATTCTCTCTTGGAAGTGGAGTCCTACTGGAACGTACTCCTCTAGTTCAGCATACCATGCCATGTTCATCGGAAGAATCCGGTTCCAGGACACACCAATTTGGAAGTCACTGGCCCCTCCTCGCTATCGCTACTTCCTCCGGTTGGTCACGATGAATAGATGCTGGACTGCTGATCGTCTTCGTCGTCGAGGGCTTCCCCACCCCGTCCGTTGTGTTCTATGCGATCAACATGAGAGGAGACCATAGATCACATCTTGATTGATTGTCTAGAATCCCGTCAACTCTGGTGGTGGGTTCTCTCAGTGATCAATCTGCCAGAATGCATGCCCCTGCACGAGGCCTCATTCCATCAATGGCTCTGTTTTGGCAGGACAAAAGTCATGAAGGATCGTCATCGGGGCTTCGACACCATTGCGGCTTTGATAGCTTGGACGATTTGGAAAGAGAGAAACGACCGGGTGTTCAACCTTCAACAGCGGCCATGGGCGGAGATAGCAAGAGCTATGGCTGCGGAGGCGGAGCTATAGTGCCTGGTAAAGGTGGCCGTTCCGTCGCTTAATCTCTAGTTCAAGAGTCCCTAGGTCGTTCCCTTCGGTTGTGAGATTGTAGTCTAAGTCCTTGTTGCACTACCCTGCCCCCTTCAATCCTGTATTTGACTTGTAAATAACTTTTTTTTTGAGACTTGTAAATAACTTGTATTCCTCTTAATACAAAGATATGCTACTAGCATATTCCAAAAAAAAAATTCAGGTGAAAGATAGGCAAAATTCACCTCTAAAATACTATTCTCCCTTTCTTCTGGTGTCTCACGTGCCAACCTCAACATGCGTGTGACTTGACATTCATTTAATTTTCTAGAATAGCGTTGTCCTTTTACTATGCGGCAAACCTGCACAAAATATGTACATTTTATTCTAACAAAATATGTATATGCAAGCATTAGATGTAACATATGTATATGAGTTACCAAATATAATGGATACATAGGAGCCATAAGAGCCCTAAAGACAAAAGCTACCTCCATAGGTAAATATGTTGGCCTGCTGTCGCTGCCAGCCTGAAGGCACGGCCAGTTAATATATTTCAAAGAATAACTGTATTGGCGATTGAAGTACTGGACAACTGATACCCTTGTCCCATCTTGATCAAACCTGTACAAGCAAACATAACAAGTCGATGTATATGATGTGGATAAATAGATAAAATTCAATCTGATCAAATAAAAGGTGCTTGCATTGTCCTTCAAAGGAGCTGAAGTTAGCCCAGTAATTTTGTAACGTATGGACACATCACGTCGATGTGTGGTCTCAACCCGGACTCCTTTAAGGGCTTTCTTTAGCTACAATGTAATAAAAACACAAAAACAAGACACAATAATGTAACCATCCGTTTTGTGCACATAAAAAGTTTTACTGTGGGTGCAAAGCTACCATGGCACATACTTTCAGACGGTCCTGATCACGTAAACACCTTGAATAAGCATCACGAATGTTCATGTTCAGATAGTCCAATGCAAAGTCAATTACTGGCTGAGCCTTGTAAAATGTTGTTGCAGAAATATCTGAACAAGAGAAAAAGTTCATGAAATCACTCATTTGCAAGTAACAAGCATCATAACAATGAGGGAAAAATCCTAGAGCCAGAAATATCTGTACTCTTAGGTGGGACGCGCCAGACTTTCGGTTGCCAAAGCATTGAGCAATAACAGATGGGTTCGAGGTCTGCAGGGCCGGTGTACTGTCCAATGAAGCAATGGGAGAATTTTTCCAACTCTGGGAGGAGGTCTACGATATGTCTCCATCCACTACTGGAAAAACCATCTTTCGTCGGTTACCCGTCGACCGATGAAATCAGATGGAAACTAACAGGCGATGGAAAGTTCTCGACTACATATCAGCCTATGACATGTTTCTTCATGGCAATGGAGAACTGTCCCTATGGGCTATGGCGAGCTGCTGTGGCGCTCCAGGGCCCCCTCGCGCATTCGTTTCCTCATGTGGGTAGCGCTGAAGGGCCGGTGTCTCACCGCCGATAACCTGGCTAAGCGAAACTGGCAGCATGACGTTCTCTGTCCGTTGTACCAGCAAGAGAACGAAGACTGTCACCTCATGTTTGTGACTTTGTGACTATACGACGGTTTGTGTGGCGAAAGATTAGGAGGTGGTGATACCAACTTCGCAATTCCGGCGGATGATGATAACACTTTGGCTGACTGGTGGCTCGCGACAAGACGGCGTTTTCGGACGAGCTACAGGACGAATTTTGATAGTACCTTCGTGCTAATTTGGAAATAGCACAGTGCCAGAATTTTTCAGCATGTTTCCAAGACGCCAGAGCAACTAGCAGATGATATAAAGGAAGAAATTGTTGTTTGGAGGGTAGCCGGGATTTTCTCCCAAATTAGCGAGTGATCACAGTTACTGTGTATCGGGATCACTCGCCAATTTACGGTTAAAATTTTTTGCCCCTGCTCTTTTTCTCTCTCTCTCTTTTGTTCCTCGCAGGACCTGGGATCAATCCTAGACTGGCGCTATATCTTCACGTCGTTGTAACTATTTACTGTTTTTCTTCCAAATCTTAATGAAATTGGTCGGCCTGGTTGGCCCGACAAAAAAAATAAAATAAAATGCAGTCTTCTTGATTCAGAAGCAATTTAACTTGTGTTGAGACAGGTATTCTCTATGGGTGAACACATTATTGTTTTAAAACCAAGGATCAAATTGTGTCCTGCTTTAATTTATTTAGAGGGCAACTCATAGTTGCATTCTGAATAACATATAAATACTACTGCCATGGGTACAGTAAAGAACTAGAGTATGAATGCTTGATTTAAGGTAAAGAATTAGGGACGATACCAATATTAAGAGAATCCCATCTGCGAGGGGCGTAGACTCTGGTAATACCCTCTCCACCATTCAACGCCACAATCAATATCCTTATGTCCAAATGCTTGTGAGAAAAACGATCTTGAGATGGATATGTACCTGTCACAAGTTAATAATTAGCAAGAAACATGTGCTTATGTAGCATACCATTATATACGAATAACCAATATTATTAGACGGGAACATATCCTATACACACAAACTTTCCGTGCACACTCCGTGCACACAAATTAGCAAATACCACAGAAAATTCTAGAAAAAATTGGACACATATTTCTAATAGTATTACACCTATGTATGAAAATCTTATCTTCAAATTTATTATATTTTAATTAGCAGTAACAAAAAAAGACAAAATCATGGCAGATTTTTACCCTTAAAACTGTCAGATTTTTCTTTTTCTTTTGTTACGGTTAAAATATAATGAATTTGAATATGAGAGTTTGCAGATAATACTGATACTATTAGGAGTAGATGTCTATTTTTTTATAGAATTTTTGTGACATTTGCTAGTTGGTGTGCATGAAAAGCTTGTGTGCATAAGAATTAGACAACGTCAAATGATAGAAACTGGTAGGTAATGGTCAAGAAACCTGTGCTGCCACTCTATATTCTATAGAAGGGAAAATATGCAAGATGCATTACCTTGAACTGGGACATTCCCTAAGAGCGATATCAAGAGCCTGGATAGTGTCTTGCGGCAGCTCTCTCTGCCTACCAGCCAAGAATTGCTTAAGGCTGTGCATATATAAGTTTGCAGCACCAGCACACTTTATGGTCACTTTGAACTCTTTCTCCCTGGAGAAAAAAAAATCAATGCAATGCACAATGACAATAGCTAGGTACAAAAGGAACACATGGACAGGAAGACATTACCCCTGGTTTCCTCTCTCAGGGTCGTTTGCAATTTTGACAACGAACTCTCTGTCTGTAAAAGGCAATGCACCAGCCGTAAACATGCCTTTTCTTCCATCATAAGCAGGCGAACGCCGCCCATCCAAGTATTTTTTGTGTGATCTTAAAAGTTCATTGATTATATTCCTGTTCCTTTCTCGAGATCTCAATTCAGGGGCGATGGCAACCTGTACCAATAAATAAATAAACACGTAGCAACTGCACTTAGAATGTGAAAATATATGTTGAAGTGATGCAGTGCACAGAGAGAACAAAAAAAACAAAAGCATGCATCCACCATGTATATAACCACATGGACAGGGGTTTCACATCTCAAGTGCTTCTGTGCTTGTATTTCACAAGGTTTAAAAAGACATTAACTATTCGGTAGAGCTTTGAAAAATTCTATATGCCACATATTTCGTCCGTTTGAGTTTATTTTTTATGGTTGGTTCTTGTGAGTTCCTAAGTGTGAAAAAAATATAAAAAAAATAAAAATAAAAAAGTTGCACATCTCTCTCCTCTGCACTAGAGAGAGGAGAGGAGAGGAAAAATTCTACTTCCTCCATTTCACAATGTAAGTCATTCTAGTATTTCCCACATTCATATTGATGTTAATGAATCTAGACATATATGAAATGGAGGGAGTACATATCACATATTTCGTCCATTTGAGTTCATTTTTTCTATGGTTGGTTCTCGTGTGTTCTTAAGCGTGAAAAAAATATATAAAAAAAAGGAAAATAAAAAATTTCGGGGGGGAGGGGGGGGGGGCGGGGGGCGCCAGCCACTCTGGTGCGCTCCTCTTGCCACCTCAGCATCGCCCCGCCACGTCGGTAGGAGGACAGTGTCAGAGAGGCTGGTGGGATAAGTTTTTTCAATGGTCTATTTGCAAAATAAGTTTTTTAAAAGGATCAAAATGTGAAAAATCCAGCGTATGGATGTTGGGGAGGGATGAGTGATTATGTATACGAGGGAGGTGGGAGGTGGAAGGGGTTTGTGTTTTGAAGGATTGATCTAATAGTTGGAGATAATGGGTCAACCAATTTAAGTTAGAACATATAGCTAAGTATTTTTTTATTTTTCTTATAATTTTTATATGGTTTTTTTCTAATTTATTAAAGTTCCATGTAGCGGCTTATGAGTGTTCATAGGATGTCATATGGCAGTGATAAATATGAGGTAGTAAACAGGAAAATGATTCTCAACTCTCGTGGAAATGTCTCGTTGCTCTTTGCATATCATCTAAAAAAAGTTTTGAAAATTTTGGACCAGATGGATTAATATGTGATATATCATGCCAAAGCCATGCAAATTCAAATTTGACACCTACTACAAATCACAGAAAAAGAACAAAATAAGATCTACTCCCTCCGTCCTATAATATAGCAACCTAAAACCGGATGGGATACTTCATATTACAACGAATCTGGACAGGAAGCTTGTCCGGAATCATTGTACTATGAAGTATCTCGTCCGGTACTAGATTGTTATATTATGGGACAGAGGGAGTATCTACCAAGTGTAGTCAATTATTTTTTAACTTACAGAAGTTAAATTTAAGCTTGTATGGTCGTGGAATGATCTATTACTACATATTAATCTATGGGTGTGTTTAGTTCACGCTAAAATTGAAAGTTTGGTTGAAATTGAAATGATGTGACAGAAAAGAAAAGTTAGAAGTTTATATGTAGGAAAGTTTTGATACGATGAAAAAGTTAAAAGTTTGAAGAAAAAGTTTGGAACTAAACTCGGTTTATCTTGAATTTTTTTTATAATCGTTTCGACGACATGAAAGAAATTGTATGTGACATGCAGAGTTTAAAATCCATTCTTGTACTAGAAGTCAACTTAATAAAAAAAGTTACTAAAATACAAAGCGAAACCGGGATGGAGTACATCGTAATGGTAGATCTCCTTGTCGGCAAGCTGCACGACGAAATGGTTGGCGCGGACGCGGCAGCTCGTCCCGACCGTCCCGAACCCCGGCCTCGCCTGGAGCACCACCGCCTTGCTCGACGTCGGCGGCAGCGCACCGACCGCCCGCGACGGCGGCTCGACCTCCCCCACCGCCGGCGCCGAAGCAGACGACGACGACGACGCCCCCTCGCGCGCCTCCATCCCGGCCGCCATCTCCGTCTCCACCTCGCCGCTGAGCACATCCGCCTCCGCCGGTTGCAGCGCCGGCACCGGCGCGGCGGCTCCGTCCCGGCCAGCCCCAGGGCCGGATCCCGTGCCCCGTGGAAGCGGGACGCGGGGCTCCACGGCGTCCAAAGCACCTCGACCGCGTTTGCGTCCGCGCTCGCCGCCACGGACACTGCTGGCGCCGCCGGGGCCACCGCGCCGGCCCCCTACCCCGCCGCCGCGGGAAGACATGGCCGGTAGACAAGCAAGCGGAGCTAGAAGCACGCAAACCCACGGAAGGAAATTAATGGAAGCTGAAGGCCTGAAGCGAGACGAGGCGGAGTGGAAGAGCGACATATATAGGTCGACCCACTCACGGGCCCTCTCCCTCTCACTGACATGGCGGGCCCACGTGTCAGCGGCAGCGGAGGAGCGCATGGAGATGCGTGCAGGGGGAAGGGAGGGAGGCATATGGACGGTTGATTGCTCTCTCTCGCGGGCATCGACGCTGCGTCACGTACTCACGTCACGCAGCGTCGGGTTTGTCTCATGTCTAGTCGTTACTCGTTAACTAGAAGGGGATGTGAGCTGTCGCCGCTCACACAGAAAGGTACTCTCTCCATTTTAAAATATTTGACAACGTTAACTTTTTAGCACATATTTGACCGTTCGTCTTATTAAAAAAAATTCGTGAAATATATAAAACTATGTATGTACATAAAAGTATATTTAACAATGAATCAAATGATATAAAAAGAATAAATAATTACTTAAATTTGTTGAATAAGACGAATGGTCAAACACGTACTAAAAAGTTAACGATGTCAAACATTTTAAAACAGAGGGAGTACAAAAGTTACTAAAGTCAAAACAGTAGGTATTGCTTATTGGCTTTTTTTGGGACATTTTAGCATGTACTGATAGTAAAACTATAACTAATTAACTTTAGCGGATGAGGTCAATGAAAAACACTAAGGCGTGGCCAATGAAATAACATGAACAACGAAAACGATACTCCCTCCCTCCATTTCCGTTGTTTGACTTTTTTCTAATTAAACTTTGTTTTCATCGTTTGACTTTTTTCCGTAGTTAAACTTTGTTAAGCTTGATCAGATGCATAAAAAATTTAACAATATTTAAAATATGAAACTAGTTTTATTAAATCTAACAGTTTAAAAATATAGGTCCCATCGTTTGGCTTATTTCCTTATAAGCTAAAACGGCTTATTAGGAAATAAAAATGAATTTGTAGGTGAAACTTTTATAAATGTGTTCTTGGTGGCTTAAAAGCCAATATTGTAAAAGAAGCTACGTTGAAAATGTCTCAAAATCAATCTCAAAATTAAGTTTAAAAATTCAAAATTTGGCTTTTTCTTTGGCTGATTATGCCATCCGATGGGAACCATATTTGTTTAAGCACATATTTTTCTATAAATTTAATTAAACTTAAATAAGTTTGGTTAGGAAAAAAATTAAATGACTTTATAATAAGATGAAGCGGAAGGAGTAGGAAAAACCATGCGCCTGAGAGCATAGTGGCTTTTCTATCGTAAGACTAACAACACCTAAGCTTTCAGACAATTCATAAAGTATTTACATAGTTGTATTATTGACCAAGTTGCGTGTTTAGTAGAAAATGGCTAATGTCAATATAGGGAACAGAGAACAAAACATAATAAAATGTAAGCAACTCTGTCACGCAAATTACACCATGAATAATGTGCAAAAAAATGTGTTCTAGCAAAGTAAAAAAGGACACGCTTAATCTGTCATACGTATACAATACCACGCGGCAAGATCGACTAAGACTGAAAGTCACTTAACTAAGGACCATAACAAATTTGGATTCTTCAGCACGCTGAACTCCTAATGTTTTCACCTGCTGCAAGTAGCTTCCCTGTGACGAACAGGCAAAGATAATTCATTTTCCAATATATATAATCATGGTAATATTGCCAATGCAATGCCAATATTATCATGACAATGGTCCTGAAAAAAAATACATGGATAATTTAGGTATATGGATTACGGAATCACCCATAGCCCCTTAGATTGTTGAACCAAATTTAAGACAATCACCAATTAATTAAAAAACTTCACAATAGCAGGGCATGCTTGCAACAGCAGATTTCTACAGGTGCATCAAACTATTGTGGTCCTATTAACACAGCTTGGCTCGGAAGCATACCATAGGTGCAAGAATGCAAGATGATATGTGGTCCAAACCACTGGCAAATGAGCAGAATGATGGTTGAAAAAAGAGAATGAATTCAAACCTGTGCCTTTCATCCCATCTCGACAAACTTGTCCTGCAACAGGAAATTTGTTGCGAGCTCTCTCTCAGCCTGCCATGTTTTATTGGCACATATTACATACATATAATTTTAGATACGTTAGGACTTAAAAAGGGCCAAAGATCTCCTGGGAAACAGCAGTAGAGATTACCATGTTGTCCCCGATGCCTCCAGGGAGATTAATCTGTAAGAAACCTCATGATCATCATCGATCACATGATTCACATCAGTGCGCTGCGGCATTGGTAATGATAAACCCAGGTTGATCTCCCCCTCCCATCATGGACTGATCACACACTGTCAATAGGTGGATGCATCAGCTTAGAGCAAGTTTAATAGTATAGCCAATTGTTGGCTACAAAATTTCTATAGTCAACTTAATAGTCAATTCATACAACAATTACCTATAAACATATATTACACAATTAATAATGTCTGGTTTCACCTATCATACACAAATATAGTTGCAGCTGGCTACAAATCTTTAACCCGCTGCTCTTCTCTCTCCTTTTTTATTTCCTCGAATTATGTTTATAGCTGGCTTATAGTCTGCTATTGTACTTGCTCTTATATCTGCATACCATATCATGCATGCGTGAATCCCAGAAAAATTGGTCTCTCGTGTCTTTGATTATTAGCATGGCCATCCTGCTGATAGTTGCATGCACAATAATGGCTAAACTGCAGCATGCAGATAATGCATTGCAAAATGACTTGCTTAATTAAAAGGCAAACTCTATGGCATCAAGGTAGGGGTAAACTGGGACCAGATGAACACATGCATCAGCAAACTAATTTAATCAGGAGAGTCATCTCATCTATTACACAGAAGCAGTGGCGGAGGACAAAAAAAAATGGAGGTGTGGCCATGGACTAAGCATATGACGAAGTTGAACGGCAATAACAAATCTCGGTGCCTATTCACAAGCAGAAGAGTACGCATGCCAGTGGAGCATTAGCTGATTACTCAGACAACAATACGAGCAACAAGTTATCTTTTCTGAAAGAAAAATATACTCCCTCCGTTTCGAAATGTTTGACGCCGTTGACTTTTTAGCACATGTTTGACCGTTCGTCTTATTCAAAAAAAATTAAGTAATTATTAATTTTTTTCTATCATTTGATTTATTGTTAAATATATTTTTATGTAGGCATATAATTTTACATATTTCATAAAAGTTTTTGAATAAAACAAACAGTCAAATATGTGCTAAAAAGTCAACGGTGTCAAACATTTTGAAACGGAGGGAGTATTTGTTTTGAAACAAGAACACACGCGTGTTTTCTCGATGTGAGAGAACAAAATCATCAACAAATTGGCCAGCAAATATAGGTTTACTTAAAAGCCGTGGGAACGCCGGAAGAGTAGGAGTGCCACATCATCGATTTTTGCGAAAAAAACCCCTGCACTTTCGGTTAATTATGCGCCAGTCCTCGCTTCTTTCCACCGTCTGATCTCACCGTAGGGTCGATCTGGCCGTCCACATGTCCCGCTGTGCCGGCCCTTCCTTACCCGTGTGATCGTCGGATTATGGACGGACGGCCTGGATTTCGCCAACCGGTACAAACCCTAGCCGCCCGTCCTCTCCTCTCCCTACGCGCGCGCCGCAACCTCCTCCGCTCGCTCTGCAACCTCGCCCGCCTCCTGTGCTCGTGTGCGCCGTCGCCCACCTCCTCAGCTCGCACCGCAACCTCGCCGCCTCTTGCGCTCGTGTGCGCCGTCGTCGCCGCAGCTCCCTCTCCTCTACTGTGCTACCGCCGCCGCTCCCTCCCAATAAGCCGCCGGATCTCCTAGTGAGGAGGCCGGGACCGCCGGATCCGGTGACCCCGGTCTCCTCGCCGGCGGATCCGTGTCAGAAGTGGAGATTTCAGAGATAACTGAAGAAAAGTTCAGAGATAACTGAAGAAAGTCTGAAGAATGGTGATACCGTTTGGCTGACGTCATTTAATGAGAATGAATGGTAGAGATGCGAAGATTCGTATTTACAGCGGGATTCGATGGTGGCGATTCGCTGTTCTCTTATCCACTGTCATGTAATTTTTGTTTAAGAGCTTATGCTCGTTTACTTTTACTTGAATGCTGAATCTAAGCTGTAATGAGGTTAAAACTGATGCTTTGGATCCGCTCGGGAGTATATAACCCAGCGAGACTAATGAGAAGGGCAACAAGAACCAAATTATTGTCTTAGTAGCTTAGAACCCTAGTTTTTTTCCGAGTCTTGCGGTGCCCAACAGATTGTGAGAGAGGGGAGAATTCCATTTTTTGGCTCTGAATTTTCTTGGGTTTGATAAGGGTATCAGAGTAAAGCCCGATTCTTGGCTCTCGAATTCACCAAGTGAAGGTTGGGAGGATCTCCGGATTTCTCACCGTAAAATCCCTGGAACTTGGGCGGATCGAACCGGAGGCGAGGAGAAGCGAGGAGAAGGTGTTTTGAGCGAGGGTTGGAGAACCACGCAGGTGTGTTCTCTGTAAAATCTCCGGAGCTCGGGATTCCTACTCAGGTTGGCGGTAGACCTAGACGGCGAGATCTTAAGGGGAGAGGGATCTGTGAATTCCTTGAGCCGATTTCGTCAGTCAATCGATGATGCCTGCGCGAACCAGATCCCCCAACAGTTTGGACAGCGCTGGGGAGTTTGATGTTCGTGCTGAAATCACACAGATTAGGCATGAGATGGCGGATCCGAGAGTGAAGCGGTTGGAAATGGGTGAAATTAAAGGACTTCTGAGCAGTATCTGTGCGAGTATGTCGAGTCAAGGACCTGGATTTGGGGGAACGGCTGGAGCTAGTACTAGTGGCATTGCAAGGGGGGCAGCAGGGTTGGCAGCTTCAGCAGCAGCAACGGTGAGCAATACTGCAACAGTGGCTGGAAGTTCTTCAGTACCACCGGGTTTCAGTCCCCGACCTAACACCACTGGACTTCAGACCGGGGCTGGTGCGACGCCACTGACTTCGGGAGCTCAGGTAAATCCTGTTAATGCTGGAAGCATGACCTCAACTGTGACAATCCCATCCTTTCTGCCCAGAAACACAGGGTGCCATGACTTCTGTAGGAAATGTGAACTTCCAAATTGAACCAAACACTGTGAACCCATCTTTTGGCCCAGTTTTCACCACTGCTACTAGAACTCATGTGTTACCAGAGAGAAGAAATTTCAATTTTCCTGAGAGAGAGTCACAAGAGGATGTGGGGATGAACCATTATGGGATTGACACTAATCAGCCTTGGAGATATCCAACTAGGCAACCAGGGGGTACTGCTGTAGGCACAAGAGCAGGGATGCCAAACCCGGGAGGAGGTATGTACTGGCAGGAACCACCTAGATATTTGCATGGTGTCATACCAAACCCTTATACTGAAATGTCATTGAGGAGTCAGAGGTTGGAATTGACATTGTTCAATGGGGAGGATGCTGTAGGGTGGTTGCAACAATGTGAAAAGTTTTTTGAGATGACTGGCACCCCTGTGGATCAGTGGGTTAATTTAGCATCTGGACACTTAGTGGGAAGAGCAGGGAAATGGTTTAGAAATTTGGCCATACCCTGGTACTGTCTAAATTGGCAGCAATTTTATCTAATGGTTTTAGATCGTTTTACTGAAGCTAATGCCCATGAAGCTGTGGAACTACTGCAGAATGCAAAACAGACTGGTAGTGTAATGCAGTACATTGACAAATTCGAAGACTGTGTTTCTTTAGTGAAAAGGGATCATCCTTACTTGACGGAGTCTTACATTTTGAGTTGTTTTATTGGGGGATTGAGGGCTGACATTAAGCATGATGTATGTGGGCAAAAGCCCCAGAACTTGTTGGCAGGATATTGGTATGCTAAGGTGTATGAGAAGGCAAGTATTGCTAAGAGACTAAGCTACCAATCTGAATTTAATAGAAACAAACCTCAATTCCAGCCTGCCCAGTCTAGTGGTACCAGATTTGTCAACCAGAAAAACACAACTCAAGGGGTGGAGAAAGAAAAGAAAACTTGCTGGTATTGCAAGGAACCATGGAATTACCAACATAAATATAAAGTTGGCAAGGTGGTACATATGATGGAGGAGGTTAAAGAAGAATAGGAACCCCAAGAAACTCAGGAGGAGAATGGAGAGACTGGATACCAGACAGCTCCTGGTAGTCCAGCTAAGAAGGAAGAAGAGGAGGGACAGTTGATGCAAATATCTACACAAGCAGCACAGGGGATGTGTGGAAGTAATACTTTCTCTCTCATTGCTCATGTTAAAGGAAGGAGGGCTGTAACATTGGTTGACAGTGGGAGTACAAATTCTTTCATGAACTATGATTTTGCTATAAAAAGTGGGTGTGAAATTTTGGAAGCTGGCAATAGAAGAATACTGGTAGCTGGTGGGGGTATGATCTCCTCTTCCACAAAAACTGAGCAGTTGTCATATACTGTACAAGGTCATCCATTTGAAAGAGTGTTCCAATTAATTCCCTTGAAAGGATTTGATGTGATTTTAGGGGCAGATTGGATTTATGACCATAGTCCAATCAGTCTGGACCTAAAACAGAGAGTTCTTTAGGTAACATGTAAGGGCCAGCAAGTTAAATTTGTATATCATACTCTTCCATAGGAGAAGATAATGATTAAGGCTGGAAAATTTGGGAAGATGCTTGATAAGGGGATAATGGGTTTCTTCATAGAAGTGTTGTCTAAAACAGAAGAGAAGAAGGAAGAAACCATTATACCAGAATAGATAGCAGTTTTGCTTCAAGAGTTTGCTGACGTATTTGCTGAACCTAAGGGTTTACCTCCAAAGAGGGATTGTGACCATGCAATACCACTGAAGGTGGGAGCAGAACCTCCAAGCTTGAGACCCAACAGAGTCCCACATCAACAGAAAAATGCTATGGAAGAAATTATTAAGGAATTGCTGGATTCTAAAGAAATTAGACCTAGTCTCAGTCCATATTCATCTCCAGCTATCATGGTGAGGAAGAAGGATGGGAATTGGAGGATGTGTGTGGATTATCGGCAATTGAATGCCAAAACCGTCAAGAACAAGTTCCCTATGCCTATCATAGAAGATTGTTAGATGAATTGAATGGTGCCAAGGTGTTCACAAAGCTGGATCTACGGTCGGGTTACCATCAAATCAGAATGGTGGAAGGTGATATCCCTAAGACAGCATTCAAAACTCATATGGGGCATTTTGAATATTTGGTGATGCCATTCAGGTTGACAAACGCACCAGCTACATTTCAAGCTCTCATGAATCAAATTTTTGGCAAACTTTTGAGGAAGTGTGTTTTGGTCTTCTTTGACGACATACTAATTTATAGCAGAGATCTGAGGGAACATGAACAGCACTTGCGCATAGTGCTAAACATACTGAGGTCACATAAATTGTTTGCCAAGCGAAGCAAATGCACTTTTGCTGTAGGAAGTATAGAATATCTGGGGCATATAGTGTCCGGAGAAGGTGTTGCAACTAAGCCTAGTAAAATTCAGGATGTGGTGGATTGGCCAGTACCCAAAAATGTCTCAAAATTAAGAGGATTCTTGGGATTAACTGGATACTATAGGAGATTTGTGAAGGGGTATGGAACCATATGCAGACCACTTCATGATCTGTTGAAGAAAAACAGCTACCAATGGGGTGTAGAACAGCAAAAAGCTTTTGACAATCTTAAAGAAGTTATGACTTCCTGTCCAGTTTTGGCTTTACCCAATTTCAATCAACCTTTTGTCCTAGAGACAGATGCATGTGGTATTGGAATTGGGGCTGTACTGATGCAAGAAGGGAGACCCATTGCTTATTTCAGCAAATCTCTGGGGAAGAAGGCAGCTAGCTCTTCAACATATGAAAAGGAGGCTATTGCTATCTTATAAGCTTTGAAGAAATAGAGGCACTATTTGCTTGGAAATCAGGTGGTCATCAGAACTGATCAGCAAAGTTTGAAGTTCATGGCAACCCAGAGATTAACAGAAGGAATTCAGCACAAACTATTGCTGAAATTAATGGAGTTCGATTACAGTATTGAGTACAAGAAGGGAAAAGAAAACAAGGCAGCTGATGCATTGTCTAGGAGGGATACTGATGGAGACAAGTGCTTGGCAATCACTCTGGTATATCCAGCTTGGGTGGAGGATGTGAAGAACAACTACATGGGCGATGAGAAATATGCAAAGTTAGTAACTGGAGAGGAACTGAATGAAGGAGCAGAGGGGTTCACTTTACAATCTGGGTTACTGAGGTATAAAAACAGAATTTATGTGGGACAATCAACTGATATCAGACAAAGGCTGCTTCAATCCTTTCACAATTCCACCTTTGGAGGGCATTCCGGAATGAAGGTGACATACCATAAACTTAAGAAGATTTTTTATTGGCCTAAAATGAAGAAGGATGTGGATAGACAGGTGACTGAATGCCCAACCTGTCAAATAGCTAAACCTGAACATATTCATGTACCTGGATTGTTGGACCCTTTACAAATTCCTGAGATGGCATGGACACACATTTCAATGGATTTTATAGAAGGGTTGCCAAAATCTCATGGAAAAGATGTTATTCTAGTAGTAGTGGACAGGTTAACAAAGTATGCTCATTTTGTTGCCATGTCTCATCCTTTTGACACTCAAGATGTGATACAAGTTTTCATGGAAAATGTATACAGACTTCATGGCATGCCAGTGGCTATTGTGTCAGACTGAGACAGGATTTTTACCAGCGAACTATTCCAAAATGTTTTTAAAGCAATGGGTACTGCATTGCGGGTTAGTACTTCCTATCATCCTCAGTCTGACGGCCAAACCGAGAGGGTAAATCAATGTGTAGAAGCTTATCTTCGCTGTATGGTGTTTCAGGAGCCTAAAGAATGGTACAAATGGTTGCCTACTGCAGAATGGTGGTATAATACTTCTTATCACACATCATTGCAAGTCACTTCATATGAGGCCATGTATGGAGTAACTCCACCACATATTGGGGAAAGGGCGATACCTGGAAATGTTTCAGAAGAGGCAAGAGCAACTGTACAGCAGAGGGAGGATATGTTGGCAAGATTAAAAGAAAACTTGGCCAAAGCTCAAACCAGAATCAAAAAGCTTGTTGACAGACTCAGGAGTGAAAGACAATTCGAGTTAGGGGATATGGTCTACCTAAAGATGCAACCATATCGACAGAATGCTTTTGGGCTGAGAGGATCATTGAAACTCAGAGCAAAGTTTTATGGTCCCTTCAGAGTGTTGGAAAAGATTGGGAAGGTTGCTTATAAGTTGCAGTTGCCAGAAGAAGCTAACATACACCCTGTGTTTCACGTTAGTCAGCTGAAGAAACATGTGGGAAGGCAGGCAATCCCGCTACCAAATCTTCCACTGGTGGGTGCTGATGGTACTGTCAAGACTGAACCACTTGCAGTATTAGCAAGGAGAGTAATTCCAAGACAAAATGAACCAGTGGTTCAATGGTTAATTCACTGGGAGAATTTAACACCTGAAGATGCAACTTGGGAAAATGCAACATTCATCCAGGCCACTTTTCCACACTTTAGACCTTGAGGACAAGGTCTGGCTCAAGGGGAAAGGATTGTCAGAAGTGGAGATTTCAGAGATAACTGAAGAAAAGTTCAGAGATAACTGAAGAAAGTCTGAAGAATGGTGATACCGTTTGGCTAACGCCATTTAATGAGAATGAACGGTGGAGATGCGAAGATTCTTATTTACAGCGGGATTCGACGATGGCGATTCGCTGTTCTCTTATTCACTGTCATGTAATTTTTGTTTAAGAGCTTATGCTCGTTTACTTTTACCTGAATGCTGAATATAAGCTGTAATGAGGTTAAAACTGATGCTTTGGATCCGCTCGGGAGTATATAACCCAGCGAGACTAATGAGAAGGGCAACAAGAACCAAATTATTGTCTTAGTAGCTTAGAACCCTAGTTTTTTTCCGAGTCTTGCGGCGCTCAACAGATTGTGAGAGAGAGGGGAGAATTCCATTTTTTGGCTCTGAATTTTCTTGGGTTTGACAATCCGGCGCCCAGACGCCCACCTCCTCCGCTCGCAAGCGCCGTCGCCGCCGCAGCTCCCTTCTCCTCTACCGTGCTGCCACCGCCGCTCCCTCTCTGCGGTGTCAAATATGGCTCGGGGACCGTCTGATTCATCGATCTTGGCCTCCCCTCCAGTTGAATCGGTCGCCCGGATGGAGTCAACAGGGCGCCGCCGCTGCCCTCTTCTCCTGTCCCTCTCTGCCTAGACGGAGTCAGTAGGCCGCCGCCACTGCCATCTTCTCCTCTCCCTCTCCATGAGAGCCTCGCTCAGTGCCATGAGAAGGGAAGGGAGAGTGTCGGCTTGGCCAGGACCACGATGAAGACAGCTGCGGCTCCGCGACAATAGCTGCCTAGTCGTTCCTGTTCTCTTTTTTCCTTTTCGTTCTAGCTCAGTGCCATAGGGCCATGAGAAGGAAGTGGTTGGACCTTAGTTGTTGATGATTACAACCGTGATTTGCTTCTAATGTGTAAGCCTTGATTTAGTTACAGTGCCAGTCTTGATTTGCTTTTAATGTGTATGGCATTCTTCAGTTATAGTGTGTAGGTTGTGTGGAGAAATTTCCCTCTGCATGTACTTCAACACTGTCATGTGTGATCAAACTGTTTAGCTTGAAACAACACACGCTGCTACTCAAATTTCTCTATGCTGTGATTAATTGTTTCAGTTAGGAATTGCATATACAGCTTTGGAGGGCAAAACGATATTGTTGATAGGTTTATTTGTTCCCATTTGTGATGCAGGGCATATTTATGCGATTTGGGGCTTTCGTTCATTATATCAAGCTTAGGATACCTTTGACATGTATGTAATGATTCTCTTTGGTTGCCAAGGTAAAGTTCTTCTTGGGCTGATTCAGTTCATATTATGTACACAAGAAACATAATAGTGCAGATCCAACTCAAAGCCTTTCAGACCATACTATAAATGCCCTAAATGCCCTACTGTTCTTTATTTATCAGTGCTTATAAGCTTCTCCAGATGCAGGTATCCCTCCCAGTGCATATGAAGTGGAACATATCTATGTAAGTTTTGTTTTGCCTCGATACGAATCAATTACTTTTTTTGAACATCATACGAAGTCATTGTAACCTATTTAGAACTGGAATTTTAACAAAGATTGTCCTATGCTGTAGCCATGGGACTTTTTTTTATTATACACCAGCTTGCACGAGGTGCATTAGTCTTTGTCGCCTAATTTGGTTCCTCTTCTTAGCTAGAGGTATACTAAGAAATACTAGCTAGGTTCTCTCTGTACGAGCACTAATGCATTTTTGGGAAGTATGGTATCTCATCTGAGGTGTGTGAATTTAGGCAATAAAGAAAAACATATACTCATGTTGTAGTTTTTGTTTAGAATTGAAATAGTTATTGATAAGAGAAATATGCTTAACATGCTACATGCATAGTCATATTGCTAAAATGTGACATTTCATATTGAAGACTATATACTATTTAAGCAGCTACCTGTGTTCCAAAACTATCAAATATTTTATTTCAAATGGTCAGGTAGGCTTACAGTTATTGACAACCAGTTGGGGATACTAGGATATTGGATGAGGTAGTTCTTATAGTGTAGGAACTACAATCCATTGACAGTGTTTGGAACTTACTGACAATGATAGTGGACATACTGGTATTTGAATAATGTCCCATGTGTTTTATTGCTAATTTTTGTTTAAACAAATTGTTCATGATAGTTGGGAAGTACAGCTGGCCCAATGTGTTATGGGGAACAAAAGCAATTGTTAATTGTTGCTTTCTCATGAAAAGGATGTAATTAATTATCTGGAACCAATGTGGAATAGTTATTCTCCTTCAAGTTTTGTCTTAATATCCAACAGATGGATATAAAATTGAAACCACTTTCTATGCATGAAACACTTATTTTTCTTCTTTTTTAGGCCAGTTGATCTATGATGGGATTCTTTGACCAACGATGGAATGTTCGTTAGTGCCTTTTTTTCCAAGCTTATAAACCTGAAATGTGTCTGCATATTCTGGAAAAAGGATATTCAGATAATATCATTACTTTAAAATAATCTACATATTCTGAATTTAAATAGCAAGTGGACAATACAAACTTATAAATTATATGTTCCCTTTTATTCCTTGGCATGGAATGTAAATCAGCAACCACATGTTCCATCTGGTATGTTTTCCATCTATGATAATTTTTCTGCTGATTTGCTGCCCCCCCTCCCCCCCCCCCCCCACCTTTTACCCCTATATTTGGATCATGCAGATAACTTTAAATAGCCATACCTCCATACCTCAGAGCAACTATATCATATCATGTTTCAAGTCTTTTGGCCACGATTAAGGTAAGTATATCATATCATGCTAAAAGTCTCTTGGCCATCACATCTAGGTAGTCTCCGTAAATTCGATTAATCATAGCAACTACAATTGTCAGATATACTAAATAAGTCTCTAAATGATGGATATAAAAAAAATATGCTTCAATAGGTGCACATGGGGTCTTTCTTTCTTTCTTTTTTCCTTACAGCGATATTTCTGGAATTTGCTACTGACCCATCATCTTTCAAATTGAATCTCTGTTTTTACATATACTTCTATGAAGTTTGCATCATAGGTTGACTTGACATTATGATTTCATTAGTTATTTTTGCGCTTAATCAATCGAAATTGCAACATTTTGTTTCCACTTCATGCATGTAAAACCGAACTCTTGGACATAATGTTGGCCTATTGGACATAGCTCAGTAGTCACTGGCACTTTCCAAGTAAGCAGCAGCCATCTAAATTGCTGCACATACATTTGGTTATATACTGTTGTTTTTATTGCGCCGAAACACTAAAATATCCTTCACAATGCAGGTGCTATGTGAAAAGATCTCATTGTTTCGTGATGAAGATTTCTATATGAAAAATTTTCAGGTATGCGCCTTGCCTTCTAATGATTACCGACTCAACATTGATCTTTTTCTGTAATCTACATCACACTGGAAAGGCTTTTACACTATTGTGCATTGGTTGTACAAATTGTTCTCTGAACGAACCGATCAGAACAATTCACATTTGATCTTGAAAATATTAATAAAGTGTAAATGCAAGTATGCTCTTGGCGCAAACTTGACAACTGTAACCATTTTGGGCTGCTTTGAGTATGATGTTACCTTCAAATCCACACGCAGCGTAGCGCGTGATTATTGCTAGTAATTAACAAAGATGCAGAGATCTCTCCACTGAGATGCTTCGATCAGCGCCGGGTTGCCATCAATGACAAGAAACCCATCCGGTATATGGATATGTTAGCACCGAGAATATACATGTTTAACTAGCTAGTTCAGGCACGTGTAGATCCATGCAGGGAAACTGCACAGAATTCAGACAAGCCGCGCATAGTGAAATTCAACATGAGGTAGGAAGAGGATCAGACGTTTTCAGGGGCAGCCATTATATCTCGGGTTGTAGCAGCGCCATTGCGTTTTCTTGCTGTTTCCGTGGATGCCATGGCAGGAGCCGGTCAAGAGCTGACCATCTACGTCCTGCCACCTGCGTCTGCACTGGCGCGCCACGGTGCTGTACGCCCGCGCCGCATGCTCGCCGTCACCCCTAGCTCTCTTGGTCGGCAGTGACTCTACTGCCTACGGGCCTGCGGCGGTGCAGCCGTGTGGTGCGCCATCGGGGGTGGGGGTACTCGCGTCGGGAGCGAGGTATGGCGCGCGCCAACCCTTGCCCAACCGAGTCCTCCGCCCCTGCACAGAAGGGCAGCTGCAAGAGATGAAAAAAGAAATGTAACAATGGTGTGCATGTGTTGGTATGGAAGAATTGGATGAATATCTGCCAAAAAAAAGGGTGACCAAGTCAAAAAAGACATTCCAAAACACAAACACTGACTTCAGATAATAATAAAAAAGGGTGAAGAATAAAATAACCAATTCCCCCCCCCCCCCCCTAAAAAATAGCAAAATATCAAATATACGAGGTGTCCTTGTACAGGAAATTTATACTACGGAGTACATCTCCATACTGACATTTTTCAGGAAATAAATGATTTATTCTCATTTCACTGGTCCACAATGACATTTACAAAATGATATATCCTGATATCTATATACATCCATAAACCAAAATGGCATTACAAAATGATGTATATATTATATTTCCATTTTGACATTTGAAAAATGGTACTACATCCATTCACCTAGTGATGTTGTCCAAAATGACTACAAAATGATATATATCCTAGAATGTTTATTTATTTCAACAAAATACTACTACAATACTCCATCTGACTGATCTGCAAGCATACTATAAAATTAGTGGCCTTATTGCTTGTTTGTATACAATCTACACCTTAGACCTTCTCTGGTGCTTAACCTGTGGAAGCGGAAGTTTGTGCCCCTGCCAAGAAAGAACACATATCTGAATATAGGACTACGTAGAGCAGCAGTCTTCGAATTAGAACTGGCAACAATTAATTTGTCCAAGTAGTAGGAATGAAGAAACAAGAATTGCGAACAGAGGAGACGGCTAATCTAGATGATCAATAAAGAAGTGTTAAATTTTGTTTGCACTTAAAAACTAAGAGAACAATACAAGATAAATTAACCAAGATCATTCTGTCGTTCAGATGAGAAAAGGCTACATACATGTCCACTAAGCATGTGATTATTTTTTCAGGATTGTGAAGTCTTCGAATTAAGGATTGTGAAGTCTTCGAATTATGATGGCTATGCACAAGTGGACACAAAAATCACAAATCGGGACATGAACATAGACTCTTTAGCTAGAACATGGGAAAAAAAGGGTGCTAACAGACTTAGAAGTCAGAAATGCAAAGTCTGTTTCAACTCATCTGGTGACAACAAAGCGATGCCACCTCTCTGTTCTTGAAAAGGCCAGAAGCCCAGAACTCAGAAGAAAAATAAGGATTAGAACCAAACAAAACACACTGTGGATGCTCAAGCCTGGAAAAAAAAAATTCAAAATGTTAGTGCATATGCAAGAACCAGGATTGGAACCGACAACAGTTACTTTGTTAATGAAGTGGGAACGAATAAACAAGTAGAGTGAACGGAGTGGACGTACGGCAGATGCAGATGCGAGGTACAGGATCGGCTGGGGATTGGACGGATGCAGGGAACAGAACACCTGCTTCCAATGGCGTTGCTCTGGCCAGGCCTCGTCCGACGAGGCACTACGCCGCCGGGCGGGGTTGCTTGCACGACCCGATCCCCTCACCAACCAAAGATAGTAAGTCGGCGGAGCCAGAAATTTAAGCCTGTAGAATCAATTACTATAAGTGAGGCATTTCTCTAAATTATTTTGAATTTATACATGAAAATCGAGATTTATAGGATGGTTTTCAAAAAGCTGTGCTGACCCCACAGAAAAGGCCTGAATCCGCCGCCAAGTCAAGGCACCCCGAGTAGCCAGCAAGCAGAGAAGTGCAGAGCAATCAGAAGAAGCGGTAGGGCCAACGTACGCCGGCAAAGAGGGCAGCCAAGCTAGCACAGGAAAGTAGGAAACAACGCACACGAGCTGGACTTCGAGCTAGTCGCGGCCCGCCCCCGGCCCTTCCCCTCCGGCAACCAAGCCCCAGATGGGCGGCGCTCCGCCTTACCTTTTTCGCCGGGAGGGGGATAGCGGCGCCGCTCGCCGACGCGTCACCCGGCCTCGCGCGTGTGCATGTAGTGGTGCCACTGCCACGGCGTCGATCGGTGTCGAACCCTCCGTCATGGCAGCTTGCTATGTGTAGGGAGGCGGCGAGGCGCCGAGAGGCGTAGGCGACGGCGCGGGGCGCGTGCGTGGGGGCGGCGCCCATGCGAGCGTGCGAGGCGGCAGGGAGGGGGCCGGAGGGGCGGCCGGTGGGCTTGGTGAGGGGGATGGACGTTTTGCAAAAACAACCACGTATATTACATGTTTACGGCGCCACCCTTACGATCGGAATTTTGTCTTTTTTTCATTGTACTTCCCCATCTACTCTATTTCATCCTTGCAGGATAAGTAATTCTACTTGTCATCTATTTAAACATGTTACTAGTTATTCCTCGTAAACAAACGATTTATTAATATTTACATTTCTCGATGCCCATGTAGTAAATCTTGTGTGGAAGAATAGAGAGTCACGCATTAAATCCGAGAAAGTTATTAATAGGATAGGTTGTTGGATAGAAATATGTCTATCAAAAATAATTTTTTCAGATTTGTTAATATGCTTATCAAAAGTAGATGGAGAGAGTATTTATTAAACAGAATTGCTAACCTCATGCGGATAGAAATTGTATCCCCAAATCTTGCAGATTTTGGGCCACCGGATGAGTTTCGAGATTCGTACTCCAGGCCTTCTCCTCCAACTCCGGCAACCTCCTCGTCTTCTCCCGCGCCGGTGATACCCTAGACTTCGATAAAGGACCCTACAGGTTAGGGTCCCGGGGTGGGGTAGGGGTGGGAGGGGGAGGGGGAGAGGGAAGGGGAGGAGTTCGCCGGCTTAGAGGGATGGCCGGGGGAGGCGGCAGCCCGGCGGTGGGCGGCGGATCGGGCGGGTGGCAAGGCGCCGACGGCAGTGCCGGGGCCGCGGGGCTAGAGAAAGGCGGTGGGCCGGCGTCGGTGGCAGGGGCATCTCGCAGCCGACGGCTCGAGGAGGAAGGAGGGGGTAGGGGGAGGGGGAGGAGGCTGGCTAGGGTGGTCTCGCCGGTGCCGTTGACATCCTCCGGCCAACCGGCAAGGCGGGCGGCGGTGCGGTGGGACGGTGGCGGCGGGGGATCGGGCGGAGGAATAGCGATGGGAGGAGGGGTGCGGACGCGCGACGGGAGGGGAACGGGAGGAGGAGAGCTAGGGTTAATGCCTTTGCATGAATCTTAAAAGCACATTCAATGGTCCAAAATTTGAAAGACGGTGTCAGGGTTACGGGTAAGGTATACCCTCTATCCTTCGATATACGTCACATATCGATATGGTATGTTCACGCGTATACGGACGCTTTCGGCATACGTTAAGGAAATTTATCACAGAGTTCACAGATGGAAGGAGTCCTACTCGGTCAGAAATGGGTCGTCATTGTGTCGTGTTCGGTCCGGTCCCTCCGAGTCCTACTGGGAGACAGGTGACCTGCGATATAAAAGGGACCTCACGGGAGGACATAAGGCATCGAATCTCAGAGCCAACATATCCACCACAGCCTACGAAGCCGGAGCTTATCGGAGCCAAGTCGCCGGGAGATCTAGTCGGATCAACTCGACTACGATCTTGTCGTTATCGTCAAGGTCCACTAATCCCTTTGTAATCTGTGGTTTCCATTATATAATCCCATATCAACTGGATTAGGGCTATTACCTACCAAGGGGCCTGAACCAGTATAATCTCTGTTTCCTGTTTGCTTGATGTCGTACTACGTAGATCCTCGTACCAGCGTGCCCCAATACCCTCTATATTCGGTCTACGGGTATCCCCCGTCGACAGACGGGATGTGAGATTTTCTATCAACAGATATATAGACAGTCCCTTTATTAAAGGAACGAGGGTTTGTTCGGAAAACACACCACGACACAATTGTCAGTACAAGGATTGTTTCACTATATTTTACAGAGGATCTTACCAAATTATAGCAATGCCAAAAATTTAGCAAGTTGATAATATTGTTAAAATTTTGGCATGATTTCTTATGTATTTATCAAAATTTGGCAACAAACTAAACGTAGGCACATTCTTAGTAACTTTGCCAAAAAAAAAATGGTATGGTTGAAAATGACCTACATGCATGGTGTAGCCGAAAATTGCCCGTGGGGCAAAGCGAACACTATGGCCCGGTTTAGATGGCAAAAATTTTTGTTTTTGATGTCACATCGGATATACAGACACATATTTGAAGTATTAAACGTTGTCTAATAACAAAACAAATTACAGATTCCGCCTGAAAACTGCGAGACGAATTTATTAAGCCTAATTAATCCATCATTAGAAAATATTTACTGTAGCACCATATTGTCAAATCATGGCGCAATTAGGCTTAAAATATTTGTCTCGCAATTTACACGTAAATTGTGTAATTGGTTTTTTTTCCATATTTAATACTATATGCATGTATCCAAATATTCGATGTGATGGGTAAAAAAAGTTTTTGTTTTGGGAAAACATTGTCAAAACAGGGCACGTTATTTTGCATCCACCCACCTGGTATGCCACGCAAATGTACATTAGAGATGAAAACGGATAAAATACGATCGGAAACTAGCTCTATCATATTTGTTTTTATATTTTTTTTTCTCGGAATCGAATTCGGAATCGGAAACCCGGATACGAAAACGGAATCGAATATTATCGAATATAGATATGGAGCGAACTCGAATCGAAACGAATACGGTATAAAATAATTATCGAAATATCAAGACCCCTCAAAGTAAGCTTCTTAAATCGAGGAAGAGATGTAGCCATTAGTTTTAAAAACAAAACATCAACATTTTCAAATTTTATCTCTATTTGTAAGGGCAAGGGGGAGATAGAAAATGTTGTGTTTACTTTCATATTCGTTTTTATTTCTAACAAAAAAAAATCTGAATTCATTTCCGTAGTTGAAATTTTTTAGATATATTCGACTGAAACTATCCGAATCTGAAAAAAGGTCCGGTCGGACAGAAACTATCCTAATCACTTTCAACCCTACTGTACAAGGAGGCAAAGGCATCCAAATATTACTCTTCATCCTAAAATTAAGTGCATCCATGGGTATCCGTGTTCAACGTTGACCATCCATCTTATTAGAAAAATTTATAAAAAAATTAGTCACACATAAAGTACTATTTATATTTTATTATTTAATAACAATAAAAATATTAATCATAAAAGAATTTTAAATAAAACGAACGGTCAAACGTTAGACATAAACAATATAAGACTAAACTTATTTTGGGACGGAGGTAGTCATATCAGTCTTGCGAGATTACAAATTAAATTAAAAAAAGGAAAACGGTGGGGAAGGAGTGTTATGATCTGATCATTAGCCATTACGGTGCAAAAGACGCAATGATGATACTCGTCTCACACTTTGGGTCTCAACTCAACTCTGGAGCACGCTGAGTGATTCCTCGATACCAAAGACCCAAACGCAACAGGAAATAAAAGCCCGGCAAAAAGGGGGCAAAAACGGAGTCGACGAGTGTCCAGCAATTCCAACCGTGAGACACACCAAGATAGTGATGCACGGGAACGAGAATGGGTTTTAGCGTGGTGAATCGTGTCCGGAGAGACGATGCATCCTCCAGTTTGGGCCCTGTGAAGTGGGCCCAAAGCTACTCGTAGATCGATTTGCGCTGAGAGCTTGGGAGCCATGGCAGCCCAGCCCAGCCCGATGTAGCAGCAGCCCATCAAACGAATTCTGTTTTTTTCTTCCCTTGACAATTCTCCAACTAGGCGTTGTTGACTTTTTAACCACCATTCGTCTTATTAAAAAAATATATAATTATTATTTATTTTATTGTGACTTGATTTATCATCCAATATTCTTTAAGTATGATATAAATATTTTTATATTTGCACAAAAATTTTGAATAAAATAAATGGTCAAACGTTGATTAAAAAAAGGCAACGGCGCCATACATTAGAATACGAAGGAAGTATTATAAAACTCCAATTATGCGTGTGTTAACTTGACAATACATCACCTGAACTCCTGAAGAATTGACCATGAATTCTATCAACCGTTTAACTTTTGCAACACCAAAAGGCAGGTAATTAAACGATCTATTGGGAGTATTACCAATATTATTATCAATAGAAACAAAATAAGCTACTGTATTGATTTATAAATTCTACTAATAATAAAATAACTAATCTCCTTGATTCTATTACCAATAGTTCGTGTAGTAAAAATTGATATGATCCATTGGATGATTACC